TCTAATTTCTCTTTTTCAAGTTATATTTGAACATAAAATAGTGCCTCTTCAGGTTTATCTTTAGTGAAGGGGCTCGAATGGGGAGTTTACAGGTTACATTTACTTATTACCTAAAGAATATTCCAAGTCTATAGGAGCTGGCCTCTGTGAAGTCTTCGTCCCGTCCTACCCATTGGTGCCTTTCTCTGGGGTCTTCTAGCATTTAGTTTTTGCACTTTGGCAGTGACACGTGTATATTACAGTCTAACCTGTTGAGCTTACCTGCACCCACAGTTTAACTAGCCCCCACTAACCTGCTCTCCCCCCAGTTTCTTTTTCCGGCTTTTGTTCCCCAATGTTTAAATCTTTCTCATCCAGTGTCTGAGTGGCTGGTCATACCTGCTAGTTGTCTGGCACAGCTGTGTTCCTCCAGGCCTAGGTCTCACTTCCTGACTGGACCGTTGACATTCATCCAAGCCGTACTACTTCTACCTCCTCCTCCTCCAGTCTCAGCCTGCAGTTCAGAATGAGTGCTGTTAGATATGCATCCTTGTGCAGCGTTACGGACAGAGATGCGTTTGAACACTTCTAACAGTGCTGTTTTTCCAGGGAACCAAATGGCTGCTGGCCAACACACACCACCTTGTAGGAGACGAGGGGGTGTACTTACAGGGGAGGTTTGAGTGCTGTGGCAGATTGCTCTGTGCTTCATACACCAGTCTGTGCTGTTGTGCATCAATACTGTACACTCAGACAGGTTTGCAAAGATTATACCCTGTGGTAGTGTACACACTATCATATGTATATCTATGTGTTAATTTTAATATATTTTTGTTGACTTCAGAGAGAAAGGGAGAGGGAGAGAACGAGATAGAAACATCAATGATGAGAAGAATAACTGATGGGTTGCCTCCTGCATGCCTCCTATTGGGAATTGAGCCAGAAACCCTGGGCATGTGCCCTGACTGGAATTGAACTGTCACCTCCTGGTTCATAGTTCAATGTTCAACCACTGAGCAACACTGGCTGGACTTATGCATTAATTTTGACTGTACTGATTCTTTTAACATAAACATCTAATTTTGTTGAAAAGAAGGATCCCTGAGTGTAACTTGCCGGCATGATTGTCAAGTGTTTTTCACAAGGTTTATTGTTCCTGTGCTGGGACCTCCCCAGTCACAAAGCTGACTGGCAGCCATATCTGAGTTTCCGTCAGCGTGGATGTCACTGTTTTCTCCACCCTGGTTATTCCCTCAGACCCCACTCTATCCAATTTGCAGCCCTACCCAAGCTGTTTGTAGCCAATTTTCCATATGAGTGGCCTATCCTGGCTCAGGCTTCAGACTTTGCTGGAATCTCAAAGAATCAGCAGTTCGCATCGAACCTATCAATAAAAGGCCCAAGACTCTGCACAAGCACCAGCCTGTTTTGCTTCACAGCTGGGTCTTGCCTGGGCACTTCCTAGCCCAAAACAAGTAGCAGCCATCTGCAGATCTCTCTGTAGCTCCTGCCAGGTGGCCCCAGGCAGCGGCTGACTTTGCACCTCCTGGAGGCCCCAGAGCTAATGAATCTGTTGGACAGCTTCATATCATAACAGATTACAGCTCTGCACATCCAAAAGCAACACACTCAAGGAGCTGACTCAGCACCAAAGCCCCACTGAAACAAGTCCTGTTCCATAGGGGTGTCTCCTGCACAGAAGCTCTTCCATTTGGGATGCAGCTGGTCCTCACAGCCCATCAGCCTGGAAGTCAATTCCTCCCAGTGATGCCAACAGCAATCAAGTCTCAACTACAACAAGACTGTGCACAGCACACAGCACACACAGGAACATACCTAGAGTGCCCTGCTCAGGTGACTGGGGAGTCTGAGCCACTAGGCCCTACAGGAAACCTAATACGCAAGTTCTCTCTACCAATTCCAGAAGACATAGTAGTTCTACCTAATACATAGAAACAAATACAGGGAAGCTGCCAAAATGCAGAGACAATGAAACATGTCACAAATGAAATAAATGGAAGTAAGCAAACTACTGGAGACAAAATAGTGGTTCTAAGGTTACTCAAGGATCTTAATGAGAGTTTCAAGGGACTTAATGAGAGCTTCAAGGGAATTAATGAGAGATGCAAGGGACTTAGTAAGACTTTCAAGGATCTTGGTGAGAATGCCAAAGACATAAAAATAGGACCAATCAGAATTAAGCCTATACTAACTGAAATAAAGAATAATTCACAGGAATTCAATGGTAGAGTAGAGGATTCTGAGAAATAAATGATTTGGAATATGAGGAAGCAAAAGACACCTATTAAGGAGAACAAAAGAGAAAAGAATAAAAAGGCATGAAGATAATGTAAGGAGCCTCTGGGACAACTTCCAGTGTACCAACATTCCCATTATGAGGGTGCTAGAAGGAGAAGAGAGACAGCAAGATCTTGAAAACCTATTTGAATAAATAATGATAGAAAACTTCCCCATAGGGTGAAAGAAATAGTCTTACAAGTTCAGGAAGCACAGTAAGTCCCAAACAAGATGAATCCAAAGAGGTCCACATCATAATTAAAATGCGAAGGGTTAAAGAAAAACAGAGGATTTTAAAAGCAGCAAGCGAAAAGCAAATAGTTACCTACAAAGGAGCACTCATATGACTGTCAGCTGATTTCTCAACAGAAACTTTGCAGGGCAGAGGGGATTGGCAAAAAATAATGAAAGTGATGAATAACAAGAACCTATAACCAACATTACCCAGCAAAGCTATCATTTAGAATTGAACGTCAGATAAAGAGCTTCACAGACAAGAAAAAACTAAAGGAGTTCATCCTTACCAAGCCACTATTATATGAAATGTTGAAGAGTATTCTTGAAGAAGAAGAAGAGGAAGAGGAAGAGGAAGAGGGAGAAGAAAGAAGACGAAGAAAAAAGATAAAAAATGTGAACAACAAAATGGCAATAAATACATCTGTATCAGCAACTGAATTTAAAAATCAAAATAAATGAACAAGAAATCTAATGAACAAAATAAACTGATGAATAAAATAGAATCAGAGGCATGGAAACAGAACAGACTGACAAATCTCAGAGGAAAGGATTGAGGGGTTTGGGAAGATATTAAGGAAAAATCTTCTATGCAAGTATGCATTACCTAAGGACACAGACAATGGGGTTGTGAAGGCCTGGAATGGGGTGGGATCTGGGTGGATGGGGGCTCTGGAAGGCAAAGAGGGGCATCTGTAATGCTCTCAGCAATAAAGATTTTGCGAAGAAAAAAAAAAAAGGAAGGAAGGCCAAAAAAAAGAGAGGATATTTAGATGTGCCCTGACTGTAATCAAACTGTGACCTCCTGGTGTCATAGGTCGATGCTAATAAATATATTAAAACTACTTAATTATGATATATACATATATAAATAAAAATAAAATATGGTCGGTATTTCATTTATTTCTTTTTAGGTGCTAGAATAAACAGTAATCACAATAGAATTTAGCTATGTTTTCCTAGCCTTTTTATATCATAGTTCATAAAATATGACCTACAAAATTTCCTGCCTCCCACCAGAAACTGTCGCCTGTCATACCTCCTCGATTTGTTGTGTTTGTTCTGTGGCACTATTGAACACGTGGCACCAGATATGGTCAGAGGGGCAGATTCAGGACATGACAAGGTATGTTCTATTTTTGACACATCTTTTTATATCTCTATAAACTGTATAATAAGAATCCTAGCTAATAACTTAGGTAGAGTCTCTAACAGAGTCCTCTTTCTGGTGTTACCTTATCTTTACTTTTTCTCTCCTTTGCTTTGTCTACATGAACACATTATGGTATCTAGGGTTGTGGAGGGAAAAGATAATAGAAAGGTTAGGACATTCTGGATTTCCCTTTTTTCAAGGTTTACTGCTGAGGATCATCTTTTGTTTTATAGAGTAACACTTTGTTAAAGGAAACTTCAAAAGCAACTGATTCTTCATATAATAATTTTTACGTTATTTCCATGAAAAGAATCTGTATCTTGAGCAAAGCACCAGTGGTCACTCTATATAAAACCAAACTCATTCATTTTCTGTTGCATGGGACCTGCTCTTTTAGGACTCAGCTGAGCCACAGCACAGTGCAGAGGTGTCACTGAATGCGCAGACTGTCCACTGCTCCCTTGTGAGTCTCGCTTGATGATTTTGGACAGCGCTTATTGGCATTTTTTATTTTTGTTAGAAAAATACATGGGACATATAGTTGGCTGTGTCACCTTAGGTTGATATTTGCTTTCTAAGAGGGCATTGAAAAGGGAATCTTTCCTATTTTTATTCCAATTGGGCTTTTAACTTTGTAGACATATTGGAGACTTTGTTGATTATCTCTCCCACAGAAATAATCATTGTAACACTCCTTGGAGAAAGAAAATAATCCAAGATAGTCTCTGTTTTCCTAAGCCCTCTAAAGCAGCAGTTGTCAACCGGTGGCCTGCAGACCACTGGTGGTCCGTGAGGTCCGAAAGTTTGGCGACTTCTGGTTTAAGGAAACCTTTGAGGCAGCGGTCGCCAACTGGTGGTCCATGAGGGTCTGAAAGGTTGGCGACCGCTGCTCTAAAGAGCTCAATTTTTTCCTCCCCACTTTCTTTGTATTTGCAAAATGAAGGCTGGAAAGAGCCTGTCTAAGTAATTATGTCACATATTTTTATTTCATGTATGAAAGGATACAGACATGTCCAGTTCTTTCTCTTTTAAAAAATACTTTGTGGATTTACAAAGAGGAAGGGAAAGGGACAGAGAGTTAGAAACATCAATGAGAGAGACACATTGACCAGCTGCCTCCTGCACTTCCCCTACTGGAGATTGAGCCTGCAACCAAGGTACATGCCCTTGACATGAATCAAACCCAGGATCCTTCAGACCAAAGGCCGACTCTTTATCCACTGAGCCAAACCGGTTAGGGCTGCCCAGTTCTTTCTTAACACTTTTGCTTTATTAATAACTTTCTCCAAGTAAGGGATTCTGACTATTTTTTGTTTCTCACCTTCCCCTCTTCCTCATCCCCTTGCAGAATCCCACATGTACAGTCCACATATCTTAAGGGTAGAGATGTTTGCTAATGACTCATCATATGTTTAAACACTATTGTTCAACTTTTCACAACTAGGAATCTGATTGTAGAGCTGTATCTATTGATTTCCAATCCAACAGCAGAACATTCTGAGGGTCTGACTCAGATGGCAGTGAAACTGCTTGTATAAATAAAATAATTGAATTGTTGGTTTAGTTCAAGTCAAGGTATTCTCTGAAACTTTGGGAATTTTGGTAGGAATTTGTAACTATTAAAATTTGAAAATTACTTTCTAAGTTTTCTAAGATCTAATAGAACCAATTTTCTTTTCATCCTAACCCGATGATATGCTTATTGATTTTAGAGAGGGGGGAGGGTAGAAAGAGAGAGAGAGAGAGAGAGAGAGAGAGAGAGAAGAGAAACATTGATTGGTTGCCTCCCATATGCACCCTGACTGGGGACTGAACCCACAACCTAGGTATATGGCCTGATCGGGAATCAAACCCACAACCTTTCAGTGTATGGAATGTTGCTCCAGCCACCTGAGCCACAGCAGCCAGGGCATGGAACTGGTTTTCAGGAAAGAAAACCTTATATTCCTCCTAGAATTTCTGCATACCTGAGGTCCAGAGTTCAGCTAGGTCAGTGGGAGTTGATGGAACACCTTGAGGCCTTTGAGTTGATTGAATGAGCTATAATGTGTGCAACGTGCTCATCACTGTGCCTGGCTTGCACGCACTCTTGTGGTTTCAGTCTGCCTGACCCTGTTTTCTGTGTCACTGTTATGTGTTTTCTTTAAAACAGTTCTAGTCTCATACATTTGGCTACATTTCTCTGAAATATTGGCCCTGAAATTTGGAAGCAGAGAGTTTAAAATTTTAGCATCCAGTTAATATCTCATTGACATAAGCTCATGTAGTCAACCATTACTCAAATCCTGATTTGCATAATCATAAAAGAAGTAATTTTCAATATATCAAGAATCTCTAAGTTATATGTAATTTGCTGTGTTCTCAGTTCAGGTAACTACATTTATAAATTTGTTTCCCATTTTGATCACATATTCTTTTGCATTATTTTAAATCTCAGCATGCTTCCCACAAATGAAGGCTATTAGATTTCTGGTAGGTTCTATAAGAGGAATTGATTTAGGTGATTATGAAAAAATAACACCTGTAGGTGGGCTTTTTTATTCATTTTTTTCTTTGACTTTAAGGAATTTGTAGTATTTATTGAAGCTGGATAGTCACTAAAAATGCTAATTGGTACTTTGTCCCCCGTCTATCATAAGTCCAAAGATTTCATTTACTTAAAAAATTAAATTTATTTTAAATCAAAATAAATTTTTTAGTTAACCAAAATAAAACCATTACTAGTTTAGAAAATAATTAAAACACTTTTAGTTCATTGATTGACAGCCTAGATGTTTAAATTTGTTCTGACATACCTGCATATCTGTTCTCTAAATGTCTTTCTTGCATGTGCTGGTTTAATGCTCCTTGCCCAGAAAGCTATGCACAGGCACTTTTTGTTCAAATATTTCCCAAATATGCAGCTTTATTTTGTTCATTTTTCTTTCCTCTAAATTACTTACTAGTTAATATTCTATCAATACATTTTGTAGGCAGCTGACTGGTGGGTTTAGGTGTTGTAATGTATGAACTACCACCTGGAGGGTCTCCGTTCATGTGATGGGAAAGAGAACTCCCAAGCTGAGCTACTAGGTCAGACTTAACAAAATAAAATGAATGGTTACTTCAAAGGAACTGATCAAATTTCTGCAATTTGGCTGATGGAAAAAATAATTAAAAATGGAGATTAGCAAGATTATGTTGAAGTGGTTAATTTACATTTATAAGTACATAGGATGTAGACATATTTCCTCATATTTCATGTGCCCAGAAAGATTTTAAATTTCATAGGGAGTGTGTCATCATTTTTGTGTATTCCAACGCACTAGCATTGACAGGGAGCTGCCACAGCCCCTGACACAGCTGTGTTCCCTGCTAGAGCCCTTTGGAATACGGGGCCCAGAGCAGTTAGGAATACAGGCTCAAGAGCCGTTTAGAATTTGGGGCAAAGAGCCTTTTTCGAATGTGGAGCAAATAGCAGTTTAGAATGTGGTGCAAATAGCAGTTTAGAATGTGGGGTGAGGAGCCAATTGGAATGTGGCACAGAGCTGGTGGGCACAGAGACGGTGGGCCCAGAGCCTGTGTGCATAGCGATGGACGGTGGACACAGCCTCGGACGGTGGACACAGCCTCAGGATGGACGTGACTGTCCGTGAGCTCATGGAGCTCTTTCTACAGAGTACACCTGACTCCCTGTCCCATTGCGGGTGCCCTGGCTCCTCTCCCGCCCCCCTAACGTCTCCACAGACCCCACCCACCTGGGCCCTGGCAGTCCTGGGACTCAGGGGTCTTCACAGGTTTCCAAACTGGGGGCGGGTGTCCTGGCCTGGGGCCCTGAGGGGTTTCCTACTCTGGAGCCCATGCACCAGGTGCAGGACCCCCTGGCGCTTCTAGCCCTGGACTGAGATGAGTTCACCTGCTCCTGCTAGGGGGCTAGGCTGCGGGTCCAGGCTCTAGATGGTTTGACTCAGTGGTTAGAGTGTTGGACTGCCCACCAAAGGGTCGCAGGTTTGATTCCCCGTCAAGGGCATGTCCCTGGTTTGAAGAAGGTAATGTCGGCAGTTGGAGGAGAGGCTGCCCAGTGAGGATGAGGCCGTGGGCCTGTGCTCGCACCAGGCAGAAAGGGGGAACCAGGTGGTCCTGTGTGGCCTGTGGGGATGAGATCCAGGCTCACCTGAGAAGTATTTCAGGTTATGAAAGGTTTCCTCAAAAAATAAGATTGTCATGGACCCAACCTTCTGACATAAGCGCTCTAATATTTTGCCATCTTCGCGTTAGATTTTATTTGAAGAATAAGATGCTATCCCTCCTGACCCTCCCCTCCCAAGGCTTACCCTCTTTGTGTGACACATGGATGGTGCAACTGAAATCCCTGGGACAGTTGAGGGAGCTCCCACACTGGGAGGAGTGCTGTCTGGTGGGAAGTCAGTGTCCTCCTTGAGCTAGTGTGACAGCAGCAGTGGTGTGTGACGAAAGAGCTCGGCCGCAGAGTGTGGCTCCACTTGCTGAGGAACCTGGCCGCCCCCCACAGGAACTTGGTGGCTGAGGGTTAATAATGTCAGTGAGGTGGGTCAGCTGTGGGAGAGTGGGCCTAGGTCCCAGGGGGCGTGGCCTTGGGAGGTGGGTGCTCTCAGGGACCCTCTGCTGCTCCCTGCCCGGCCTCTGCAGCACCTTACCCTTGTGTGCCCTCAGGTGACCCGCCACCAGGCCAGCCTGTTGGACCTGCAGTGGTTGGAGGTCCCAGACATGGCCCTGGAGGAGGTGGAGTACCTCTCCAGCAACATGATCTGTCGCCTCAGGAGGGTCTTAAATGAGCAAGACCATTGCAGGAAGGTGTGTTTGTGGGTGGCCCAACGGCCTGGGGGACGGTGGGGAGGGGCCTGTGTCTGGGGCCTAGTTATGGCCGCGCTCTTCATCCTGACTTCCTCTCAAGCTGCACACTGTCTGTCCTCCTGGCCCATTTTCATGGGGGCAGGACGTGGGCACTTTCCTTGCAGGGCACAGTCCCCTAAGACACCTGTGAGAGGACAGAGGTTGAGCTTGGGGAGCCTGCTCCATTCACTCGGCCCTTCTGTCTCACTAAATATATCTCCGCTTCTTAAAAACTCCCTCACATTCTCCTGCCTCCTTCCTGGCTTTGCAGTCTCGGCTGCCATCTTCTCTTTTACTTTCTTCCGTCTTTTGGTCATTCTTCACCACATTCTAGTGCGGGCACTGTGCCGGGCACAGGAGCACGCCAGTGAGACCCCCTGTCTGCCCTGCTGTAGCTGGTCGTGACCATGACCCAGGAGTGGAACACCAGCAGCCGCCCCATTGAGGACACGCAGCACCTGGCCATGGAGCTGGCGGACACCAAGGCCACGCTGAGAGGCGTCAGGCAGGAGCTGTGAGTTCCCCAGTGACCCTGGTCTTTCTGCTCTTGTGCCGTGTGTCACCACCCATTGCTCGCACATGTGGTTCACTGCCATGCGGTGCAGCAAACGGGGCAGCTCTCACAGTGCCCTGGAGTGACCGGGCTCTGCTTTGAGCTGGGTCCCTGTTGGGCCCTGGGCTAGCCCGCTCCCTCCCCTCCCTGAGCCTGCACAGCAGGGTTCTGCTGGGCCTTAGGACTCCTGCCAGTCCAGACATGGCAGACTCAGAGCAGCAGCCTGCCGCTCAGCCTCGGGCCCAGTGTGGGTGCTCTTGGCTGGAGGGAGGATGTGACTCTCTGGTCCCGTCCTGTGGGCCTGCTCCCCCTTTCCTGCAGCTGGTGATGGCACCATGCCCGGTATCTTGGAAGCTGCCTGCCTTCACCTCCCTGCCAGGGGCCCTCCCTGCCTGCCTGGCTGTGGAGGGAGCAGTGGCTCTGGGGGCTCCTTCCCTGTCTGCAGCCTCAGAGGAAAGCTCAGGTCTGTGCTGAAGTCTGAGAGCAGCAGTGACAACGTAAAGCTCACCTTGGACTCCAGAGCATTTTCGCAGCCCCACGTGCAGAGGCCCTCCTCACGCCTAGAAGCCAGGACCCCCTCCTTCCCCGCTGTGGTCTCCCAGGTGGTGGGCTTTCCGGGTGCTTCTGAGGAGCCCTCACCACGTGTTCTCATCGCCCCCAGGGAGGAGAAGACAAAGCAGCTGGCGGACACCAGGCATCAGTTGTACCAGCTGGTGCTGGAGCTGCAGGAGGCCCGGCACAATGTGAGCAGGAGGCCTATTGTGTGGGCCGGGGGTGGGGGGCTAGGACGCCCCAGTCACCGGGGCCCCAGGTCCAGGAATGTGACCTGGGACATCTCTTCTTCCCACCCAAAGCTGCGCTGCCTGAGAGCCAGTTGTCCTGGGAGCTGCTGGGGGGTGACATGCTGCAGTGACAGCATGTGGGGCCCACACACAGGGGCCTGCACATGGACCAGCTTGGCCGCCCCTGGCTTCTCCTAGGGCTGCAGGGACTTGGGCCTTCCCCAGCCCCTAGGGTGCCCTGAGCCAGGTCCCCTGCCTTTGCCCACCTCCCAGAACATGGAGCTGGCAGCCAGCGCCCAGGCTGCACGTGCCCCCCTCCCTGAGCTGGACTACCTGAGGGAGAAGGTTAACCCCATGGAGAGGCTGGAGATGGAGGCGATGGGCCTCAGGCAGAAGGAGAAAGACATAGACTTCTATGCAGCCGCATGGAAGTGAGCCCAGCAGGGGCAGGTGGCCCGCGGGCACTTTTGTCCTTGAAGAGGGGAGAGGGGCAGCAGTGCCTCCCCAGCTGGTCCTCTCCCTGCACTGCAGACTGACTGCCAGACCCCTGGGCTCCCTCTGGTAGTGGAAGGAATAGGATTGGGAATGTGGTTGAAGGGCCCTGATTCTTCTAGGACTTTTCCTCCTCCTCCTTCATGCCACAATGATGACCTTCTATTCACTAATCTTTTTCTTTAAGACTCCTTGTAATTTGTATGGCTAAATCTTACCAGGACTGTTTCCTCATCTATAAAACAGAGATAACTGTACTAGTCCGTGAGGTTTATACAATGAAAGAGGTAAAATACCTGGTATTTGGGCAAGTCCCATATGAAGCTCTCCGTGGTGTAGCCTACTCAGATCCCGAGGTTATGGGTCTGTTCAGAGGAGGGTGTCAGGGCTGAGGGGGGATGGAGACCAAGGCCCAGGCAGGGTTGCTGACGCTCTGGCCATGCACCCACCTGCCTCACGTGAGCACTGAGTTCAGGACCCTCTCTTCCAGGCTTGTTTGCTCCTCCCACCTACTCAGGGAATGGCTGTTCCCACAGGAATGTTGGTGGCTCACTACTCTGCTCCCTGGGGAGAAGGCACCCTGGGTGCTGTGCCCAAGCAGCCCGGCCCAGGAGAGGTGGGTTGGGGGCCAGCTCTTGGCTTTGTCCTGGAAATGGTCCCCGGGCCCTGCTGGTGACGAAGGGCATCAATCTGCAGCACAGACAGGTGTGGGGCACGGGCACCCTCACTCACAGGTAGGAGGGTTGGGGAAGTTCATGTGGAAGCTTCCTCAGGCTGCAGCCTCCACAGTCTCCTGCAACCTGTGGACCTAAGGCAGGCCCCACATCTCAGCCGAACTCTGCCCCGTGGATGGGGATGGGTTTCAGGGCACAGCCTCTGTCTCCGTGTCTTTTCTGTGCCTGTCCAAGCAGCCTCGCTCAGTCATGCAGACGCAGTGACTTAAGGCCTGTGTGGCACCAAGCCCTGCGCCAGGAGCAGGGGATCTAACACAAAGCAAGACTCGCTCCTGGCACTGGGGAGCTTCTGGGCTTTTGCAGGGCTTCCCGTGGGAACCCTGTTCTATGCTCTCAAGGTGTGTGCCTCTGGATAGCAGCAGCAACATTTTTAATATCCTATTTAATAAGAGCCTAATATGCAAATTGTCCCCTTGGATGGGAGTTCCACAGGGAGGCCAGGAGTTCGATTGCTTGCTATGACATGTGCTGGCCACCAGGGGGCGGTGCAGAACATTGCTGGCATTGACAATGCACTGTGACCTCTTGCTGGCTAACTGGGAGCGGGGGTGACAGGGATGGAGGTGCTGTAAGAATGCAAGCTCATTCTCACTCCCCCTGCAACTATCCCGCGGGACGCCAGGGCTCGACCACCAGGGAAGCCCCTGAGCTCAGGTGCTGGGTGCCCAGGAGGAGCCCACCCTGCACCCGCACAAACTTGTTAAGGTGAGCCAGGCCACAGCAGCCAGGACCACAGGAGCCTGTTGGGCTCCTGGTGGGTTTGAGCAGGAGCTGGTCTGCAAGGCCAGCCAGGAGAGAGCATGCTGCCCTCCCTGCTTCTGGGGGACACCACTGGGTGGCTCAGAGGCCTACACTGCTCTCCGGTCCGCAGTGTCCGGCCATGCTCACCGCATCTCTGTGTGGAGACTTGGGCACCATGACTCAGGTGCGGGGATGAGGGGGGTGTGCGGGGGCCAGGGGCCCAGATGCTGCCCTGGGCCCAGAGGTCAGCTGTGACCTGCCCTTCCACGCCAGATGCTCGCACTTGGATCTCCGGCCAGGCCTAGGGACCGCACCCAGCAGGAATTTCATGCACCGGGCCTCTAGTCGATTAATAATTTTGCTGTGAAATTAGTAATGCTTTACACTTTGCATTAGTAAATGAATTACAAGAGAAACAGAGTGGTCCATGGAGGCCAGGCCACATAGAGGATGAGTCACACTGTTCTCCAAGGCCCGTGTGCCGGGGCCCAGGGAGCCGAGAGGACAGAGCTTGCACCTGCACGCTCACATCACAGTGGTGCCAACAGCCCTGCAGGCTGTGCGCAGCCTCCCGTCAGCCCTGCTGGGCCAGGTTTACTGTGTGCAGCTCGATCCCCTGAGGGCAGGGGCAGGGGCCTGTCTGACTGCATGCCTGGGGCTGGCACACACAAGGCACTTGGTAGTGACCACACACGTCAAGTAAATCCCATCTCAGCATGAAAAGACTTGCAACCTGGGGAGAAGGACGGGGGAATCAGAGGTGTTGTCTCCTTCGGACGGTGACAGTGTCAGGTGTGATGGGCAGCGGAGCAGAGAGCCGAGCACGACTGTCACGTGGACACCTACCATGCGGGGCCCTCCTATGGGTACAGGGGGAGCCACAGATGACCTGGGTGCCCTCCCCAATAGCCCGTCCAGTGTCGCCACTGAGAAACACATAAAAGGGGAGGGTGGTAGTGCCACAACCCGAGGAGACAGGCCTGGGCGCCCCTAGGCACACCTGGGAAGTGGGGGTGCACCCAGTGATCCTTGACTCTGTCTGCAAACACTCATCCCACCTCTGCTGCCAGGGCCCGGGGTGGAGGACAGAGGCAGAGAGAGAGTGCCTGGGAGGTCCCTCTGGTCCCATGCTTTGTCCTTGGCTGAAATTCCCGCCACCAGGGGCAGACATGGGGGTGCCTTGAGGGTCCTGAGCAGCTGAGGGCCAGCGGGGCCTGTCTCTGCCCCTCAGAGAGGGATGGGCACTTAGCTTCCTGGGCAGGGCTTGCTCCCAGAGGCGGCGGAGGCTCCGCAGGCGAGTCCCAGCTCTCACTCCACTTGCTGGGTGTGAAGCAAGCCTTGTTCCGTCCATCACAGGAGAGGCGGTCCAGGTGCCTCTCATCCCCTCGTGCCCTGGCACCGGGTGGCGTTGATAGGAACATGTTTCTAGTGAGCTTAATACGCGAAGTTCTGTCCACAGATGGGGCCCCTGGTTGGGATCGTGCAGGGAGGGGCAGGGCAGGTGGTGGCAAGGCAGGTAGGAGCTGGGTTTAAGATCAGACCATGGTTCTGGTGGTCTCACACTCTCTGCCTCCTCCAGGCCCAGCCTTTGCCACTTTAGGACTCAGGCACAGCTTCTCGGGGTCTTGTCTCTCACTTCTGCGGTGGTGGGTGTGCAAAGCAGGTTTAGATGTTTCTGCTGCCTGATGCATGGGAAGGTTGACACCCCCCCAGAAAACTGAGGCCCATTGGAAGAGTAGCTATAAATCATTTAGTTCCACACTATACTCTGCTCCTGGACACTTGTCCATCCCTGCCTTTCCCCAGGTCCTTCAGGGCCGAACTCACATGGTGCCTCTGACTCCCCCTCACGGTGTGATTCAGCTGACAAGTGTCTTTGAACATTTCTGGGGGCCCCACGAGAAGAGGAGTGGCATAGTCTTGCACTGCAGGACTAGCCTTGGGGGGGGCGGCGGACAGGCCAGTTCAGTGTTGCCTCATACTGGGCACTCTGGGTGCCCCAGCATCTGACTCAGTGGGTGGGATAGAGTGGAGTTGAAGTCCTTTTCAAAGCTGGCAATTCTGGCTGGGTTTTGAAGGCTGAGTAGGAGTTGGTTATAAGAATGTCCAGGCAGGCTTTGCTATGGGAGTTCAGGGCCTGAGAGTATGGTGATACTGGTGAGTACTGGTGGGTAGACGCAAGATGAGAATGCTGGGGACAGTGGCCAAGGGGGGAGAGCTGGGCCTCCTTCCTGTTGAAGCCCCTCCATGTGCTCCGGCTCACATCACTGATAGTAGTCGGGGTTCCTTACCCCCGCCGGCTCCTTAAGGATAAAGTGCAGGCTGCTGAGGGCAGTGAAGAGACAGGTCTGGACCTCTTCAGCCTGAGTTCAAGCCCAGCTTCGCCACTGGCTGGCTTTGTGACTTGGGGCTCATTCCTTAATTGACCCAAGTCAGCCTTTTCGTGTGTAGGAAGGGACTGTCCCTGCCTCCCTCTTGGGGCTGTTGTCAAGAGTGAATGTGGCAGAGACAGAGAGGACCTAGTGCCGGGCCGGGGACAGGGAGAGAGGGGGCCGTCAGGTGAAGCCAGAGTCAGTGACCAAACCCTTCCGGATGCCAGGCTTTGACCAGAACCGTGTCCACTGGCGGTAGGTGCACGGTTTCCCCTCTACCGAGAATCCGGGGTTCTGGCCCTTTCGGGGAAATGAACAGGTGATGGATAAGCAGGAGCTACCGGCCCGCTCCCAGGTGTTAGAACCCGTGAGTGGAGCAAGCCTTGGAAAACAGCCCGCCAGGAGAAATGGGCATGTCCCCGTGTATGCGTGCTCGCAGACTGAGGGCATTCAGGGGAGACTCAGTCCTCCTGAGACTGAGTGGCGCTGGGAGTTCTCCGGGGGGTGGGAGCAGGAATGAGGGGAATGAGCTGAACAGCTCCCCGGTGTGTGCTGGGCGCTGGCACGGGAGTAAGTGCAGTGGACGCCTCCCGTGGGGGGGCCTGTGAGGGCCCAACCATTGTGTCCACCCCCAGCATGTGCCTGGCACACAGAGGCCATAGGACTTGTTTGCTTGTTGTGTCTTACAGACCCCTCATTTCTGGGAAACTGCCCAGAGCTGTTGTTTTTCTAAGAGTAGGTGTGTGACATGTTCAAATAGGAACTGCGTATTGAACAAAAGCTCGTCTGAATTTTGTTCCTGGACCCAGATCAGTGGAGTGACTGTGAGAGGCCTAGACTCAGCCCTCAAAGCCAGGACAGACTCTCAGCCTCACCCCTTCCTTGTTTAAGAAAGTGGCTCAGCCAAGTCCCACACCTGTCAGCAGGTGCACTCGTCCAACCACCGAGGCTGTACATGTCAGACACTGACAGTGTTCCCTTTTGAATTTTTTTTAAATATATTTTATTGATTTTTTACAGAGAGGAAGGGAGAGAGATAGAGAGTTAGAAACATCGATGAGAGAGAAACATCGATCAGCTGCCCCCTGCACATCTCCCACTGGGGATGTGCCCACAACCCAGGTACATGCCCTTGACCAGAATCGAACCTGGGACCCTTCAGTCCACAGGCCGATGCTCTATCCACTGAGCCAAACCGGTTTCAGCTTCCCTTCCGAATTTAAATAGTGTCTTGCTTCGGGGATTTTTCCATCTGGACTGGCCTAATGGAGAAGGGAAGGGGCTCAAAAGTGGAGACAGCCCCAACCGGTTTGGCTCAGTGGATAGAGCGTCAGCCTGCGGACTGAAGGGTCCCAGGTTCGATTCCGGTCAAGGGCATGTACCTGGGTTGCGGGCACATTCCCAGTGGGGGGTGTGCAGGAGGCAGCTGGCTGATGTTTCTCTCTCATCGATGTTTCTAACGTTCTATCCCTCTCCCTTCCTCTCTGTAAAAAATCAATAAAATATATATTTTTAAAAAAAGTGGAGGCAGAACTTTCTGGGGCAGCAGAGACATCCCTAGGTTGTTGGCTTGGGTCCAGTGACTGGAAGAGCTTTTGTCATGACCAGGGGCCTTAACCTGATGGCTCTCATGTGTGTTCTTGCTGACCAGGTGCGGACTGGAGACGATTATTCAATGGACACCAAGGGCCACCTCCAGGAGCATTGGATTCGGTATTGGATTGATAAGCTATTCGAGCGGGAGGAGGAGAATGTGCAGCTGAAATCGAAGCTGCACCACCTACAATTGGTAGGACAAGCTGTGGTCACCACGTGTAACACAGATGGGGGCAGTTTTAGGTTCATGTTGTGCCCTTCTCTGATGTTCACCTACTGGATCGGTGCTGCTGCCACCACAGTGACCCTCTGAGGGAAGAGAGTCACTTGCTAAGCCCAGTGGCTTGAGTGGGCACCACTGAAGCCTCCAACACAGAGAGGGCCTGATGCTGTGTTGCTTTTCTGTGAGGATGGAGGGATTGGGCCTCTGTTGCAAAAAGGGTCTCCTTGGCGTTTATGATGTGGGTTGAGCTGTGATGTGTGAGTCCCTATGGCCTTTCCACGGTATTAGGCCTTCTAAGGGGCCACAGAGCTGCAGTCACCATAGCACTTGCTCTAAAGCCCTGAGCTGTAGGTTACTTTGTTCAGACACCGCTCAGAGACCTCAGGTGTCTTCATCCCCTAGGGACATGGAGGCCCTTCATCCTGGGGGAATGAGGACAGATGCACGGGGCCGGGGCTTGTCCAGAGTGTGCCCCAGTCCATATCCTCACTGCCCCCCCCCACTTCCTGCACTAGGACCGGGACACATACCAGAAATGCCTTGAGGAGCTGTGGGAAGAGAACATGGCCCTCAAGACTGCACAGGGGCAGAGTGTGGAGGAGTCCGCCCACCTACGCTGGGAGCTGGAGCAGCTGTCAGAAGGTAAAGCAGGTGCCTGTGGGCCAGCCTGGCTGTGGATTCTCCCTTACCCGGGGAGCTGAGCCCTTGGATCTGAAACTCATGTGTCAGCACTTCCTCTACCCAAGTAAATAGGGTTTTATTCAAGGGCCATTTGGAACTGTTTCATTGCAATTCTCCCCAAGAACATGAAGGGCCTGGCCACCTTGAATCAGCAAGCCAAATGCGAAGGAAGTGTTGCCAGATTTCTTAGCTTCCATTCAGCCAGTGCCAGGAGCTTCCAGATGACAGCACGCTGATGCCTAGAGGGTGTCTTAGATCTATCGGTGGAGGATTGGAAGCTCTGGATGCAGGAGACGTCCCCAGTGGTCACTCACCTCCATTATAGCTGTACCCGGGGCATGGATTCCTCCTTTGATTTCATAATCGGACAGATGGGTATAGTCTGCTCTCCGTCTTCCTGGGCAGGGGCTGCTCAGTGGCTGCTGTTCAGGGACCCAGGCCTCATCCTCTCCCTCTGGTGTTGCCTCCTCCCAGCCCCCAGAGGAGGTGAGGGGTTGGCCAGGGAAGGTGGGTGTGGTGGCCGGTCGTACAGTAGGAGCCTCAGCACCCAGCAAACAACAAGCCAGTTCCGGTGTCCAATAATAGCACACGTGCACCTGAGAGCGCAGGTTAGGGTTTGCTTAGAGCTCTGCTGAGCCAGGAGGGCCTTAGGCTGGTTTGGGGAGGGGCTGCTTTTTAATTCTGAGCAACATTCCTCAGCGTCCTGGAAAGGTTGTTGAAAGCAGCTGGGTATTCCTTCTCTTCAAGGCGCCCCATCCGCTCCAAACCTAAAATCAGTTCATTGAACTAGGAGTCTGTGTGAGAAGTTAGTTCTTTCTGTGGTTTGGTGTCTCCCCACTCCTGGGAACCCAGGCTCTGGGAGTTGAGGTTCCTGGGGAGCACACTGCCCCCTGGTGGGACACAGAAGTGGTGCCACTGGCAGGGACTGGCTCAGACCAAATGTGCTTCTGTTAGCAACCAGGGTGGCTGATGGGGTTGGAAAGCCTCCCTGATTCAGATGCTCAGTGTAGCTTGTGAGCCCTTTCAGGTCGATGACTGACTTCTTCTTCATGTTCCCAACTCCTACTGCTTAGCTGGCAGCTCACGAACAAAGCATGAACGTACTTTTTGTGGTTGGGGCGGTGGCTTCTTGAGTCAGAAAGGCCTGGTTTAAAGTCCTGGCTCCTCTACTTATTAGCCAAGTGACCTCTTCTGCACCTCAGTTTACTTATCTGAAAAATGGGGGTGATGAAGCTGCCTCACAGGATTGCTATGGGTATCTTGTGAGAGGAGACAGTGAAGCGTTAGGCTGTGCCGGCAACAAAGGATGGCTGTTCTTCTCGCCCTTGTCTTATCCAAAGATACCCACTGCTCTGCTTCTTGGGGTGCTCGTGAGCAGCCCTACTAGCAGTACAGTGCGATAAGGCTCCCAGAGCTGAGTGTGTGGCCTGGAGGGACAGGTGAGGGAACAACCCTGACCCCTCAGACAGTCATGTTTTCCTCCTGAACAAGCCCCGGGACTTTCCCAAAGTCATGCACCTGCTGGCAGCAGGGAGGGGCCTCGAACTCCCATTCTTCTCAGGTCTGTGCTCCCTTTCTGTTCCGCATTGAAGCTGTTTAAAAGCAAAGGACATTGCCTTTTTCTGGCTTTACCTTATGTTTTCATCTCGCTTAGAATTTTTAAAGCAGTCTGGATAAACTGTCTCATTCTCTTTCAATGCATTTGTGAAAGTATAAAATGAAATCTCTGACTGAAGGAACTTACCCAGAGATGGCGAGTACTGGGCATATGTGCCCCATAGCCTCTTCCACCCACAGACATGCGGTCAATGATCGTGTCCCCCTACACCGTCGGCTGAGCCACCTGCATTCACACCACTCTGAGGCTGGCACAGAGAGCGCACTCTGCCATCTCCGTTAGTCTCTGAAATCCTTGGCTTGACGGTCAGGTTAAAACTTGGCAGAAAGTGGTGCCAGCAATTCCACTGTCTTGAACGTTTGCATTGGCTTCTCTCTACCATCACCTGCTTTCTTCTTAAGCTCTGCTTGCTCCCCTGACAAACCCAGCTGAGCCAGCAGAGGGGCCATAACCGCCCGAGGAACCCTCAGGTGCAGACAGCAACAGCACCCTGGGAAAAAGGGAGGGCACCCAGCTGACCATCCCAGACCCTCAAGCCTAGGGCTCAGGGTGATGGCCGTCTCAGGGCCGGGGGCAGAGAGCAGAAGCTGAGGCCCCTGGAATATGGGCTCTGACTCCACTTTGCTCTTCAGCCTCCAGCTGCTTCCTGAAGCTGGACCAGGAGAAGCAGAGCCTCCAGGACACCATCCAGGGGCTGCCGGAAGCCTCCCTGGCCCGGCAGGAGAGCAGCCTCCAGCGCCGGGAGCTGGAGGAGGAGAACCAGCAGCTCAGAAAGCAGGTACCTGTGGGTAGTGTCTAGAACATACGGGCATGTAAGTGGCCAGGGGGAGCACCCAGGTGTCCATGAGCATGCGCAGCTGGAGAAAGGCCGAGTCCCGTGCAGCCACCGTTTTGGTAGGGGGGCAGGAGGCCTCCTGGAGAGGCGTCAGGAGGCAGCAGGAGGAGTCCCTGCAGCAGTGAGACCGCACACGATGGACCTCTGTGGGCCTCGCTGCCTTCATCTGTGAAATGGGGTTAATGATGCACCCACCAGTAGGTGTGGTGAGGATGGTGTGAGTTAGTGCAGGGAAAGGGTCCAGCCTGTAAGTGCCTCATGGAAGGAGAGCAGCGCCCTCTTCGAAACCACCGGGCGGGCCCGGGAGAGAAGCAGCGATGAAAGACTCGGCCCGTGTGGAGACCGTGGCTGAGCCGTTTCCGGGCATGGCTGCTGGTGACAGGAGGCAGTGCTCACTTCTCCTTTCGGTCGAGGGCATGAGGAAGAAGAGATGGCTGGACGGCATTGCCTTTCTGGACAAACCAGGTCTTCCCAGTAGCGCAGTAGAAGAGACATCTGGGAGGACAGACAGGCTCACCAGCCAGGTTCATCCTACAGTTACCAGGACCCCATTCACATGGCAAGAAGGGCCCTGAGAGGCTAGCGACGGCCTCCCTGAGCAGGTCATTCTGGGTCAGAGGGCCTCAGTCCATGTAGCCACCACGGGTGACACAGCTGCGTCGTGGGCTCTGAGCACACCGTGACGGGTGCCCGGATTCCAGATGAGGGAGGCCCAAGGGCACTCCTGCTTGCTGACCACCTGGCAGGACTGGTGCTTTCAGGTGTCTGGGTGTCTGTCCCGTCCGGCCCAGGGGTCCTGCCAGCGTCATTTGCTGAGGCTGCCCCGGCGATGGCAGGGATGTGGGCTGCAGACCAGAGACCTGTGTCCCGCTGGCCACGGCTCTGCTGGAACTTCATCTCTGGGTGAGGCTTGGGACCGCCCCTCCTCCTGTACAGTGGTTTCTCCAGGCCTCTCATGAGACGTCCAAGGTTCAGTGACTCACGCTTCTCGTCCTTTGAGGCTCCGTGTGCCTCGCAGCAGAGAAGCTGCCAAGCAGTGTGTCCTCTCCCTGGGGGCCGGGAGGAAGGCCCTCCTCATGCCGCGTCTCTGTGCAGCGCAGCTCAGGGAAAGCCACCAGACAGTCTGGGTTTTAAATTCACATGGTCTGGGCACAGTGAATGTCTCTGTAAATGGCAGCCCGACCTCGGCTGAGATAGAAAGCCTTGACCTTTAGAAAGATGAGAACCTCCAAAGGGGCAGGTCCCCAGGGGTGAGCTGCAGAGGCCTGCGCTGTAGCCTCTGGCCCAGCTCCCGGCAGGGATGAGAGATGACCCCTGACGCTTCTGTCCTTGGGGTCCACTCCGGTCCCTCCTCCACACACACAGGACAGGTGGTGGCTGCCGCCTCCCCACATGACTCCTTAGCCCTGTCTCTCGGGTCCCATCCCCTGCTTCCTCTCCTGATCAGTTCCCTGTAGGACCCCTGGGCAGTCCTGCCACATCCCTCAAAGACCTGTCTTGGCTCTGAGCCCCTAGTGGGAGGAAGGGGCTGCAGTTTGCAGTCCAGCACTCTCCCTTGTCTGCTGCCAGGAGCCCTGCGAAGGCGGCCCTTCTGCTCTCATCCCTGTCCTGCTCTGCCAGCTGGAGGCCTGGCTGCATCATGGGTCCTCCCTAATGTTGGATCGATGGTGCATCTGGGCCATCAGCTAAAAACCACAGGGGACATGGCCTGACATTGACCTCCCTGGAGCCAGGACAGGCCCAGCCGTGGACATGTCCAGACAACATGGCCCTCTGGGAGGTGTCTGAGAAGGAGAGACAAGGGTCAGCCAGGACAGGTGGCCCAGAGTCCCAGGCCCCCCGGTGCCAGCTCGGCTCTCCCACCACCCAGTGTCTCCCAGGCTGTAGGCTCCTTTCGGTCTGTGTAAACCTTAGTTCCCGAAGTTCACGTCCTTCCCTTTAACTCACGACCCTTCTGTGGACCTTAGAGGGTGCGCCCCCCACCCTCACTTTGCACTGACATCCTCAGAGTTCATTCCTCTTAGGAAGAGGGGCAGCCCTTTGGGGCCTATCGTGGGCACAAAAGCGCAGCACAGGGGCTGATGGGCAGGCCCCTGGCACCCGCGTGCTCTGGGGACCTGGAGCCTCCCCACAGGAGTCCGCGGCCCAAGGCTGGTGCTTTGAGGAAGACAGGAAACCCATCTCAGCCCAGCAATCTCTCAGAGTGGTTCTCAACCTTCCTAATGCCGCGACCCTTTAATACAGTACCTTGTGTTGTGGTGACCCGCGATCATAAAATTATTTTTGTTGCTACTTCATAACTGTAATTTTGCTACTGTTATGAATCGTAATGTAAATATCTGATATGCAGGATGTATTTTCATTGTTCGTGGCTCACAGGTTGAGAACCGCTGCCCTAGGGGAAGGGAGGGCCTTCAGGGAAGGACAGGAGTGCGAGTTCCAGTTCCACAGCAAAAAGCAAAAAGGTGCAGAGAAAGATGGGGTGTCCAGCCGGGGGGTGGGGGGGACATGAGGCAGTCACATCTTCAGACCAGAAGCAGCCACGCCAGATATGCAAAGGTTGGACATAAAATTCCTTTCACTGGGACAGACGGAGTGGCAGGGGAGAAGGATTAACAGTAAGACGGGGAGGAGTGAACAAGGCAGGGGGTTGGCGGGGGGACACACCCGAGACCTTGTCTGAGAGAGCAGGCCTGGGGTCGGCCCACTGCCATGCGTTCAGCGCTGCCGCATCCTCACTGTGGGGCTCTGGGCAGATCACTGGACTCCTTGGGCCGATGCCCTTCTCTGAATGAGGGTGAGTGACAGCTGTGCAGGGCCTTCCTCCTCAGGGCCAGCTCCAGAGAAAGCACGGCTCTCAGGGCAGATGCCTGCTTCCTGCTGAGCCCAGACCTGGTGCTAGGAAGTGGGGCAGCGATAAGGAAGGAGAAGAAAGATGTTCTCACTTGTGAGAAAGACTCAGACAGGTGGCACCTTGCAGCGCCTTTTGCTGTTGGCCCTGGCTGGTGGGGCTGCCCTGTCCCCATGTTGGGGCAGGGGGCTGGGTGTGCGGACAGGGGTCTGTGAGGGCACAGATATGAGCCCCACTGTGCCTAACCCTCCCCGTCATGGGGAAGAAGCTGCCTGCCTGCTGCTTCCGAGGAGTCTGGAGACTGTGCCCAGACCCATGAGATAAAGCCAGGGCGGCCTCGGCCCAGGAGAAGTAGGCAGAGCTGGCATTAGAGCAGCGATCCTTCCTGGAGTTTGTAAACCTGCCTGTGCCAGGCTGCTCCCAGCCAGGTGAATGGAGCCGGCTCTTGGACCTGCTGCTCACTGGGTCACTGGGTGTCTGAAGGTCCTGCCCCCAGAGGTTCTTGTCGGTGGCCTGAGGTCTGGGGGGTTTAATGCTCTGAGAGCCACCTGATCTGAATCATGGGGCTCCTCTGTTTTAGCTTTAGAGCCGTCAACCCAAACCAGCATCAGGGTCACAAGTCCAAATGCAGGCTCTTGGGCCCCAGCCCAGACTGACCACGTCAGAAGCTGTGAGGATGGGAGGGGCCTGGCGCTCTCAGGAGGGGTCAGCTCTTGTTGCACCTGCCACCTGTCAGGTGTGAGCTGAGCACGTCACCCTGACAGAAGCTGGCTCCCATGCCTGCTGCTTGCTGGCCCTGTCAGTTACGGAAATGCACTCGAGGTCACATTGTTAGCAGGGAGCCACCCTCTCCCCCTCCCAGGTGGTCATGAGTTTGGTGTCAGTGGGAAGGGACAGCACCATGGGCCTCGCCTGGGAGTCACACCTCAGGGCCCACCCTGAGTCTGAATCTGGATCCATCACGGTGTTCAGGTGTCAGGCACAGAGTGTGAGATGTGTGGGTCCAGGCAGTTCATGTTCAGGGAGTGGGCACTGGTGGGTCCCGCAGAAGAGGTCTGTGATGGGCCGCTGATTGGGCAGTCGTCCAGGCAGGACAGAACTGGTCTGACCTGGGCAGCAGTGGGTTGTGGAGGGGGAGCCGCATGGGGAACGAGCACAGGCCTTGGTGGTCCATTTACTTGGAGGGGAGAGGAGGGAGAGAGATGGCAGAGGACCCCTCAGAGCAGCTGGATGAATAGGAATGTCACCAACTGGGTGAAGTCCCAGTAGGACATCCAGTGGTGCCTGCTGGCCCCAGGAATTTGGCCTGACCCTCAGGACAGTAGTGGACACGGCCTAAGATGGAAGCATTGAGAGTAGCAGAGGAAAGCTGGGAGGAAAGCTGACCTATTGGTGTCCATGGCCTTTTTCTCTATCATGAGTTGGAAGTGTACGCTGTGTGCTGAGAGGTGATGGTCAAGGGTATGGGGAGCTCACTGCACAACTAGGCCTGACGTCGGCAGCAGCTCAAGGATGCCACCCAGGAGCCAGGCTTCTCCCCTCCTGCTCTGCAGTCTTGGCAGTGGCTGATATACCTCCCCAAGAAGTGGGACGGAAGGTTTTCCCTTGAGAAAAGGCTGATAAAGTGTTCCCTGGGGCTGACAGGTTTCGGGTTTGCTTTAAAACACAGTTCACTCCCTGAAACGGACTTTTGCATGGGCTGCTTCTTTGGTTCCGCAGATTGAAGACTTGCGAGTTCAGATGGAAAGAGAAAAGCAGACCAGCCAGGTTCTGGAGACTCTCTGTGAGGAGCTGGTGGAGGAGAGAGAACAGCTGCTCCGTGACAAGAAGACCCTGAAGGCTGAGAGAGCCCAGGAGGTAGGCCCTCTAGTGCCATGCCTCCCCTGGCGCCCCGGCCTGCAAGAGTGTGAGTCCAGGATCATAGGATGTCCTGGGAATCTAGCAGTGATTCTCGGGTTACCAGTTTCTTCCCTCAGATGCAGCTCACACCAGCAATTGCAGCCACAGCAGGGGCCCGGGGACAGATATTGCTTCCTAGGGACACTGGCAATCTTTTTGTTTTTTCGATCTATTTATTTATTTCAGAGGGGAAGGGAGAAGGAGAGAGGGATAAAAACATCAATGATGAGAGAGACTCATTGATCAGCTGCTTCCTGCATGCCACCTACTGGGATCAAATCAGCAACCTAAACATGTGCCCTTATCAGTAATCAAACCGTGACCTCCTAGTTCATAGGTTGATGCTCAACCATTGACCCACACTGGCTGGGCAGCACTGGCCATCTTGTTTATGATCGTCATGACTTGGGGGAGGAGAGGGGAGGTGCTCCTGGCTGTGGTGGGAGAGGCCAGGATGCTGCTAAATGTCCTGCAGCTCATGGGACAGCCCACAGAACAAAGATCCCCCTTCAGATGTCCAGCTTCCCACTCAGAGCTCTGCAGAACCTCCAGGGTTAATCCACCCCCACATTACAGGAAGTCCTAGGGTAGGCAGCCCAGTGCTGGGGCAGTGGCTCAGGGACACCACCCAGAAATCAGGCTTCTCCCTTCCTGCTCTGCCAATCTTGGCCGTGGCTGTTGTACCTTGCCAAGAAGTGGGCAGGAAGAATGTGGATGGTGAAGAGACAGAGGGAAGGCCTCCCGGGATCCTCTGTGTACATCTCATTGGCCATGCCGGACACATGACTAACCCTAGCTGCAAGGGAGGCTGGGTATCAGGTACTTGAGTTCTTCAGCCTCTCTAGTATTGCAGAAAAGGGGCTTGGGGTGGTGCTGTGTAGACTTAAGAGGCATGCATCCACCCTCCCCCAATATGGCTTCCAGTCTAGGAGGTGGAACGACAGGTGACAAGCCAGGTGACTTGAGATGTGTGCTATTGAGGGAATATACGTGGGTCCAGGGAGAGTCTTATTAGGTGCAGGACATTTAGAATCGTGGTGCAGGGCTTCCCTGAGGAGCTGTCAATCACACTGAGCCCTGGATGATGAGAAGGAGCCAGAGAAGCTGGAGGCTGGGGGTGGAGGCAGGTGAGCATTCACAGCAGAGGGAAGATCATGTGCAATGTCTGCAGGGGGGAGTGGTGTGAGGAGCGGCCACAGGGGTGGGCGGTCAGCTCTCACACCACTGTGGACCAGGGTAAAAAGCACCAAGGAAATCACTTCCATTGTTTTAGGAGAAGATGCAGTTTCTGTTTCTATGTCATCTGGCTTCTGTGAAAGTGTTTAGACTTGAACTGTCTGGGTGGGGATCTCCATGCCCTTCACCTTGTGTCCATATCAGGCCTTTGGGAAATGTTAGGACGTCCTTTGGGTCCATGATGAGATGGACATTCCAGGCCTACAATTTGGGCCTCCATTTGGACCGAAATCATGCCTGTGTTGTTTCCATTGTGTTTTCCTGCAGTTCAAGGATCTGAAAAAAGTGGTGCATTCACTGCGGGACAGTTCACAGACCGGCAGCAAGGCCCGCATGAAGGGCAGGAAGACTGAGCAAAAAGTCCTCCTCCAGACGGTGACAGACACCAAAAGGAAAGTGACCATGATGGAGTGGGAGCGGCGGCAGCTGTGCCGGGACCTGGAGCAGGTGAAGGCGCAGGCAGCGCAGGCACAGGAGCTGGAGCACATGAAGGTGCGGGTGAAGGAGCACGTGTTGCGGGCACAGGAGCTGGAGCAGGAGCTGCATCGGCTGCAGGAGGAGATCGAGAAGCTGGCCATGGAGGTCAGCGCCCTGACGACGGCCCCTGAGAGGGTCCACGCCCTCGAGTGGGAAAGCCAGGACCTGTTGCTGGAGAACCAGAGGCTGCAGACGTCTCTGGACACCCTGAAGCCTGAGGGTCTGGAGCGGGACAAGCAGCTGGACACCAGGGTAATTCTGGCCTCAGAATGAGTCAGGACGGTTCCTCCCCGGTCAACTCTCTGGTGCTTTGAATGCGGTTGGATGGGTATTGTGTAAATATCGGTGAAATGGGTTGGTAGTGCTGTTCAGGTTCTCTGTGTCCTTACTGAATTTCCATGCACTTTTCAAAGTATTCAGAGAGGGTACCCAAGGAGGTTATCCAGAGAAAGGGCAAAAATTGCCAAGAAAGGTCACATGTGCAGGGAGGGGCCCAGGACTAAGCTTAGGCCCATGGGACAGTCCGTTTCTGCTGTGGGCCTTCCCAGAGCAGTTCCTTGAGTGCAGGTAGAACTGTCCTCAGCACGGCTGGGTGTTGCCTCTCCTGAGGGTCCTGCTATTTTGGTGTCTGCACTTGACCCACTGTTGGTCCCTCACTGCGTGTGGGGACCTGGGGATCCAGAGTCTGTGGTCCCCCTGGACCTGCACCTGATGAGGCGTCATTTCCTTCTCCCTCCAGCAGGTGGAAAATTCCACTCTGAGCTCCCAGAGCGCCTCGCACACTGCGCTCACAGAGCAGGACACTCAGCTCCAGCACCAGCAGCTGGTGGCAGCCCACCAGGCCCTGCAGCAGGAACACGCGAGCCTAGGCGCACTCCACGAGCAGCTGACTAAGGAGCACAAGGCCCTTCTGGACAAGTACCGCCGCCATAAGACACTGCTGCGTCGGACCCTGGAGCTGGTGAGCAAGGCTCTCAGTGACAGGTGGGTGCCTGCGGCTGGGGGTGACTGACGGGCTCCCCGGGCTCCTGTCCCTCCTTCACTCTGGTCCCTCATGTTTCCTCTGTCCCGCTGCTTCACAGTGAAGAGAAGTAAATCCACCATCACTCTCAGCGATGTGGAGTTGGTGCGGCTGGAGACTGAGGGGCAGGAGGGTCCCCCAGGGGAGAAGGGTGTGCCCACTAATCCCGGCTCAGGGAAACCAGGTGTCAGCATTGGCGTCCCAGCTCCCCTGGGCATTCCTACCCCCTCTTCCTTTTCTCTCCAAACCAAGGACAAGGAGGGGAAGTCACCACAGCTGCCGATGTTCAGGGGCGTGCCTTACCGAGCTCCCCAGGCCTTTTCCCTGTCCAAGTCTCCAAGTCTGGGCTTCTGATTTTCTTTTTTTACTTTTAATTTTGGAAACTTTTGAATATATGGACGTGTACAGAATAGTATAGTGAAAACCCCGTGTTCCCATCACCTGCAGCAGCATTACCAATCCTCTGCCATTCTCATGTCACCTTTACCTCTGACTCTCCATATACCTTTTTAAAGGTAAAATTGATGTACCTTAAATGCATAAATCTTAACTTTGCATGTTTTCAAAATCAGGGCTTTGTGTGCATGTAAGTCAGCCAACTTCAGCTGAGCTCCAGCCAGGCAGATCCCTGATTGCAATGGCCCCAGCAGGTGCAGTGGGACCCAGAGCCTGGGGAAAGTGAGATGTACAGAGAACTCCAAGGTGTGGGGGGGGAGGGGAGAGATGCGCTAAAGAGAGGCTCTCCCACACTTGGAGCAGCGCAGGAGGGAGCTGTCCACTTTCTGTGCTTGTGAGTTATACCTGCTGAGGTCTTCCCTTGCCTCTGCCTCAGCAAATGATAGGCAAAGGCTGGGGTTTCCCTAGGAGCAGGTGAGGTGCAGGGATTTGGCATCACAGGGACCAGGGAGGGTGCTGAGCCTGCAGAGCCTGTGGAGGGCGCCTGCTGCTGCATGAACTTGGGGGTGATGACGTTCATTTAAACACTCACCCAGTGCTTCCTGTGGACTCTCTCCAGAGCCTTCCACCCCTTTCTCCACCCAGATTCCCTTCCTTTGGGGGTGCCGGGACGTCTGCTCCTATCAGACTCTCGTTTCTTCCCGCCAGAATGAGTATCTTCTGCCTCTTAGCATCTCCTTCTCTGCCTCCTCCGCACCCATCCTGTGTTCACGACATGCTTAGTGAGCACCCACTGGGCGCCTGGTGCTGTCTAACATGGTGGGAATGCACCCAGCTGACTACTGATGGGAGCCTCCCGTGGTGCCCACCCCGCACCAGGTGCTGCGGGCCTTACCCTCAATGCCCTATGATAACCGTGTGGATATATTCTTATGTCTGTTCACATAGGAAGGTTTGTGCAGGTGGCATTTGACTGCTCTGAGGGAGGAGTTCATTGTTCTGCCTATGACTCCTTGCTTGATGGACCTACTGTGTGACTCAATGGTTTTTGCTGGTTAGACAGATAGCTGGAGGCCCTTGGTGTGTCTGCAGCAAGGATGCAGGTTGGAGGTGGAGATGCCTGGAACACAGGCCGGGGGCTCTGTATTCATTTCACCTGACACGTGACTGGGACACTCACTCCTTCGTTCCCCTGGCGCACATGCACTGGGTGTCAAGCCTCCTACCCGGGATTCAGTGGGGATTAGGACTCTCAGTTTCTGCCCTGCAGGAGGGTGGTTACTAATGGTTGCGATATGCTTGATCCTGTGCTTTTCCAAGACACAACAGGGAAGCAGGAGGTGGGGACCCTAATGGTCCATAGCCCTGTTTGTCAAACCTGGATGAGAAAGATCACCGCCCTGAAAGCCCAGCAGAGCCATCATCCCCACCTTCCATTTCCCATGTCTGGGCAGCCTCCACTTGTGGCTAAAGGCCACAGGAAGGAAAGTTTGTCTTCCAACAGCTGCCCAGAAGGTATCTGAGTCTGCGTCTGAGTCTGCACAAGTTTTGGCTCCAGGCAGATGGTACAAATACAGCTGATATGGGATGGTGGGGGGTGGGATGGAGGTCTGAGGGCAGGGGCTGAAACCATGGAACCTGGTTGGTCTCTGTCAGTCTGTCTCTGGGTGTGGACACCTCAGGAAGGAGGTCTGGAAAGGCATTTGCCTGCCTGGGGAAGATTGAATGGTGATGACTCAGTCTCCACCTTGGACCTGGGAAGGCCCCTGAGTCACCTGAACAGTGAAGGTTCCTGCAGGAGGAGGAACAGCCTAGAGCTGGTCAGGGGCTCCCTCTTGTGCTCTGCTGCCCTCCAGAGAGGCTGTGCGGGACCCTCTGCAGACTGAGACAGGAAGGAAATAAAAGCCCAAACTGAGGGGGAGGCTGAGGGAGGGTGAGGGCAAGGGCTGGACTGGGGGTGCCTTGAGGAGCAGGGTGTGCAGCTGCCCATTATGGCTGCTTGGGCCTCACCAGGCAAGCCTCTGGCCCCCAAGCTGCCTGGCTCACCCAGGGCCCGGTGAGGGGCATCAGCTGTTATTGGCTGTGGAATTATGCTGTATGTGCAGTGGTTTCTTTGAGAAGGGTGTGGAGTCCAGAAAACAGTGGTTTTGTTCCCAGTGGGATGTAGGAGGGAGGCTGCTTTGACAGGGATGGAAGAGACCATGGAGACATGTCGAGTGGGAGCAGAGGGCTTGGCTTCTGGGCTGCAGGGGACCCCCCGAGCTGGCCCAGTGTCTATCCCTCTCTCTGTCCAGCCCCATCCCCTGTCCATCTCATTCTCCCTCAGCTTGCAGAGAGAAGCTGCTCACCAAGGCTTTGAGGTCTCCCTGGGTGCCCATTCCTAGTGGGTATGTTTCCCTTCAACAGCTACAAGGACCAGATCCAACATAAGGCGGCGCTGGATCAGCTGGGGATGCTCTTGACCACAGAGCAGGAGGCTCTGCAGCAGGAGCAGAGGACGAGCGCCATGGCTGCAGAGGAGAACCAGAGGCTGCAGCGAGAGCTGGACAGGTAACCGCCAGGCCCCCTGCAGGGCCTCTGCTGGGATGTCAGTCTGACCCACTCACTCAGCACCCGCTGAGCTGAGCTCAAGTGAGACCCCTGGTGATGGTGCATTTTTACCAACCCTGCCCTGGACGCAGCTGGTGGGTAACGAGGTAAAGGGGACTCCAGCTGGTGGCTGGAACGAATAACTTGGCAGCTGGGCTGGGGCATTGTCTAGGTTTGGACAACGTTCCCTCCCACAGTTATGATGCTGATGACTGTTGGGCAGGGGCACCTGCATCCTCTAACACCAGTGATCCCGTGAGGGAGAGAGGCTTGGTCCTCAGCATCCATGCATTCCCATTTGTGAATTCACCTCCTGGCTGAAATGTGCCGGTGACCCCCGAATCAGTGCCCGTGGCCTGTCATGGACGTGCCCAGAGTGGGAGATACTGGAGTCGCCTGATGTGCACATTTGCAGCTGAGGTTGAACAAGGCCTTTGACCCCAGCTGTGTTTCAGTTCTCACCAACCAGCGTCCTCTTCATGGGCCACTGAGTGCCATGGTGTTCTGTTTTCTGCGCTTCGGTGGCGATTTCGCCATTTGAAATGGTCCCAAAATGGAGTGCTGAAGTGCTGTCTAGTGTTCCCAAGTGCAATGCTGCACTTGGGCCTCATGGGGAATATTCGAGTGGCACACAAGGGTCATTTGGGCCCAGGTATGGTGCTGTTGGCTCTGAGTGTATTACACGAGGCGTCTTTACGTCTTAATGAGCTGACAAAATGTGACCAGAGACTCCCAGGAACCGGTGGGAATAGGTTCAGTACTCACTCATTCAGGGTTCGCGTGGTTGGGTAGAACATTATACTGTGAATCACGAGAATTGACTTAGCTATTGTTTTCCTTTAAGAAATCCACAGCAACAGAGGAGGAAACAGGCTCAGGGAGATTAAATAACTTGTTCAAGGTCAATGCTCCTAGTTCGTGACACAGGCAGGATTCGAATCCAAGTCTTGCCTCAACCCAGAGGCATGACCACATGAAGCCTTCCTTCCCACAGCCCTGATTTAACATGTGCTGTGGGGCTGTAAACTCAGCTGCCTGCAGTGGCCGGGCAGGTCCAGCAGGTGGGGAAGGAGAGTCAGCGATAGACCAGGCCCTGGTGGAGAATACACCCAGCTAGAGGCTGTCAGCTGGGAGGCAGGATGGACTGCCAGGTCTTCCTTCTTTATGCTTTCTTTTTTTTTTTTTTCTTTCCTGAGAAGAAGATATCTGAATGTTGATGGGTACCTTAAAATTTTGGAATGCTGATACACTAATTATTTTTTTGTTTTGTTTGTGTTTTTTATTAATCTGCTTTTTTGGGCGGGACAGAGGACTGGGAGGACCTGGAAACATATTTGAGGCCGGGGACCCTTAAATCTAACCTGCGAGTATTCATAGGTCTACAATGGAGAATCTTTGTATCTTGTTCTGTTTCTTCTTGATGTTATTTTATTTTTTTAGTTGACTTTATTGGAGAGACGTTAATTAATAAAACCATACACACTTTAAAATGAAAAAGAATAGAACAAAATAAGTAAATGTCAAAAAGTTTTTAAAAAGCTGTGTGGGCCAAACTTCACACACCTGTGTTCACATTGAGTCCATGAGCCTCTGGTCCTATGAGCTTTTTCGGTATAAATCTTCCCCAAGGAATCCCAGTTGGGTGATGATGATGATGATGATGACAATAATTTAAGTGGATTTAGGTAACACTCCAGAATCTTCTATTTTGTGTATCTCAGTAGTTGCAATTAGAAAGGGGCTTGGAATTGGGGAGAAGAGCTGGATATAGACATAGAGTCTTAGAGCAGAAATGTTCTGATTCAGTGTTTAAATGTTTGAATCAAAGAACCTTTTTTCCAAGTAGGCAGATGTGCCAAAGCCTCACGTAGAAAGGACTTTTATAGGGATGCTCTGTTGTAGTGTGTCGGAGCCTGCCTGTCCTTCTCCCCCAGTACGCAGTGGGGCACCTGGGGTAGCCTCCTAGAACCCCAATGAACACAGTTTGAAAACCGCTGATTTTGTTCAACCATTCATTAACACATGAAAAAAATTGAGGCCCAGAGAGGTTGCAGTTTTAATTAAGGTTGCACAACTGGGACAGAGCCTGTGAGTGCGCCTCAGCCCATGGCCTTGTGTTTCTCCAACCCCAGGGCCAATTTCCTGCACCAGCAGCTGAAGGGGGAGCAGGAGGAGCTGATGTCCCACACTAAAAAGCTTCAAACCTCCCTGAAGGACACCCAGCTGGAGGTGTATCGCTGGCAGGCCCAGTATGAGGGGCTGAAGGGGCAGCAGGAGGAGCTGAAGACCCACAGCAAGAAGCTTCAGAGCTCCCTGAATGATTTGCAGCTGGAGGTGAACCACTGGAAGGCCCGGTACGAGAAGCTGAAAGGGGAGCAAGAGGAGATGTACACAGTCACCAAGAAACTGCAGACCCAGGTCAATGAGCTGCTCACAGACAACAAGGAACTGCTCACAGACAACAAGGAGCTGCTCACAGACAACAAGGAGCTGCTCACAGACAACAAGGAGCTGCTCACAGACAACGAGAAGCTGCTCACAGACAATGAGGAGCTGCTCACAGACAACAAGGAGCTGCGTACAGACAACAAGGAGCTGCTCACAGACAACAAGGAGCTGTGCACAGACATCAAGGAGCTGCTCACAGACAACGAGGAGCTGCGCACAGACAATGAGGAGCTGCTCACAGACAACAAGGAGCTGCTCACAGACTACAAGGAGCTGCTCACAGACTACAAGGAGCTACAAATGTCCCTGAAGAACACACAGCGGGAAGTGAACCACTGGCAGGCCCGGTACGAGGAGCTGAAAGGGGAGCAAGAGGAGATGTACACAGTCACCAAGAAACTGCAGACCCAGGTCAATGAGCTGCTCACAGACAACAGGGAGCTGCTCACAGACAACAAAGCGCTGCGCACAGACAACGAGGAGCTGCGCACAGACAAGGAGGAGCTGCTCACAGACAACAAGGAGCTGCTCACCTACAATGAGGAGCTGCTCACAGACAACAAGGAGCTGCTCACAGACAACGAGGAGCTGCGCACGGACTACAAGGAGCTGCGCACAGACTACAAGGAGCTACAAATGTCCCTGAAGGACATGCAGTGTGAAGTGAACCACTGGCAGGCCCAGTACGAGGAGCTTAAAGGGGAGCAAGAGAAGATGTACACAGTCACCAAGGAGCTGCAGACCCACGTCAAGGAGCTGCTCACAGACAAAAAGGAGCTGCTCACAGACAACAAGGAGCTGTGCAGAGACTGCAAGGAGCTGCTCACAGACTACAAGGAGCTAAAAATGTCCCTGAAGGACACGCAGCGTGAAGTGAACCACTGGCAGGGCCAGTACGAGGGGCTGAAGGCTGAGCAAGAGGCGCTGTACGCCCACACCAAAGAGCTGCAGACCCACACCAAGGAGCTGCTCACAGAAAACCAGGAGCTGCAAACCACCCTGAAGGACACCCAGCAGGAGGTGAACCGCTGGCAGGGCCAGTATGAGGAGCTGAAGGGGGAGCAGGAGGAGCTGCAGATGCACAACAAGAAGCTGCAAACCTCCCTCAACGACACCCAGCTGGAGGTGAACTGCTGGCGGAACCAGTGCAACTGGCTGAGGGAGGAGCTCCAGAGCAGGGACATCTCGCTGACCGAGCTGGACAACCACTGCCAGGTGAGGCCTGGGCTGGAGGGCTCCAGGACCCTGGGTGGGCCTGCTCTCTGGGCTGACACCTTGAGCTTAACCAGGTGGGAATGGGTCCTCACTGGCATCTCTGCTCAAAGGGTGTGTGTGAATGTCACACAGAGGCAGAGAGGAAGCCAGAGGCAATTGACTGGGACGAACACGAGGACTGGCAGGGGTGTGCTACAGAACACCTTTCACCTGATCTTTGCTTTTTGCAGGGTCGGGGCAGTGCATGGAAGCTTCCAAATACCGTTTTATCTCCATCCTCTTGGCTGAGCACTCTGCTCTCTGTGTCATCTCATTTAATTCTCGCAATGATCTTGTGAGCTGGGGTTCCCATCCTTGTCCCTCTGAAGTAGCGGGTTGGAACCCCGTTTGTCTGAAGCCAAAGCTTGGGACTTCCTGCTACACCAAACGTGATGATATTCTAGAGCAGGAGCTGGCCAGCCTCAGCCCAAAATTCAGGTCCAGCTTCACACCTGTTTGTGTACGGCTGTGAACCAAGAATAGCTTTCACAGTTTTGAATGGTTGGGGAAAATCAAAAGTAGGATAATATTTGGGGGCAAGTGAAAGTGACATGAAATGTAAATGTTGGCGTCACGAGTAAAGATTTTTGGTTTGTTTTTTTTAAACAGCCACACCCATGCTTTCCTGCTGTAATAAGTGTTGAACAGTTGCAACAGAAACCACTGTCGGCCTGGAAAGCCTAACATAATTAGTAGATCAGGAATTACACCGGTGATTTCTTGGTGAATGGGACACTCAACCTACTGAGCCACACACACCGGGCAGCTTATTAATGAGATACTTTACATTATTTTTAATTGTTATTAAGTCCTCAGAACCTATTATATATTTTGCACTTATACCTCAGCTCAGACTGGCTGTATTTTCAGTGCTCAGCAGCCACATGTGGCCAGTGGCTGCCTGATTGAATGGTGCAGTGGCAGAAGTCTTGGCCATCCCCATAGCACTGGCCGTATTGGTCATGCCAGCTGACGTAGATAATACCAAAATGAACATCTTTGTGCATGTGACCTTTTTCTCCTTTTGGAAGTAAATTCCCAGCAGTGGAATCACGGGAGCGTGTGGTGTTTGAGACATTGTCCATCTGTGTTTTAGCTGCTCTCCCACCTCAAGGCCAACTTGGAGGGAGAAAACCGTCACCTGCAGAGCCAAATCCAAAGCTTGACAGAGAAGAACCAGAGGCTTCACCAGGAGGACGTGGAGAACAACTACCAGCACCAGGAGGAGCAGCGGCAGTACGTGTGAGGGGTGTGGGCTGACGGATGCCCATCAACAGAGGGGTCGTGGCTTCCAGCTTCATGACTAGACCGCGCCATTCTGGGCAGCAGAAAACCCCCTGGGCGCATTGGTGTCCCAGGCAAAAGGACAGACCATCTTACCAGCACATACTTCTCTCGTTATCCCGGGAATGGTTCCAGATTTCTGCAAATAAGGGTGGTTGGCTTTGTTGGCTTTTCAGAGACACTTCCCCCTGCCAGGCGCTTCTTAATCTGCTTTTGGAATCCAGTTCACTTTGAAAAGTACAATAGTGATAAAGAGAAGTTCCTAGGGAAGGACTTCAGATCACAGGCTGAGCCCTTTCTGTGCCGGTTTTTCCCTTAATGGGTTGCAGAGTGGGTTGTTGGTGCACAGTGGCTGTCCTCCCTCTGCCCACATTGCCTTTGCCGACAGGCCTGGCTCTGCAAAGTGCACAGAACCAGTTACCTGGTCTCCAGGAACCAGTAGGGGTGATGGGATGTGAGCAGAGCTGTGTGCACACAGATGTGAGGAGCTGCATGGAGGTAGAAGGAAGCGTGGTGATGGGAGTTGGAGTTCTGCTGCTGACACGGGTGGGGAGAAGGCTAGCTAGTGTGTGTGTGTGTGGGGGGGGGATAGGGGCTGAACATGAAGGTGGGGCTTGGCATGGTGTGGGTGCAGGGAAGGTGCAGGGAGTGGCAGGAGGCAGCACTTAGCCGTGGAAGGCTGCCATGCCCGGCTAATGAGTCGGATTCACTGGGAAGTGGGTGATTAAGGGATGCTGGTGTACAGGGCCTAGGAAGCTGCCAGAAATGAGGGCAGGAGGAAGAGCCTTGGTGCTGGAAACCTTGTGGTTTGGAAGTCAAGTCATCTGAGATGCATCTTGTGGGTCCAGGGTGGTCTGCACCCCTCGGTTCTGTGCTGCTGGGACTGTCCTTCCTTGCGATCAGGAATGGCTGGCCTGTGTGGGACAGAGGGACATGGCCACAGTGACCACGGGGCACTGTCCCAGCTCCCTGGGGTGATGATGCTGCTTACTGTTCTCCCGGATTCGTATGCTCATCTACAGGCAACTCAACACCTACCAAGGATGGTTGACATGGGAAACTGTACTTTTGGGGTGGAAATGAGAGTTTGTAGCCTGAAGTGGGCTCTCTATAACGCAGCTGCTAAAAATTACCAGCAGAGGTTGGGCAGGTGCAAACTACAAGAGTGGGGCCTAGTACCCTGGGGATGATCTGATGACCGTTTTGCATTAGAAAGTGTCTGCAGGAGGCCAGGGAGTGGGCAGGCTTCCTGAGCCTGCTCTAAGCAGAGTCATCCCCAGCCCTGGGATAGCTGGGCCATGAGTTTGCGGGGCTGGGGGACGGCTGTGGGAACAGAATAACACAGACTAGAAGAACAGAGGCCGAGCCGAGGGTGCTGGGAGCAGAGCAGTTCCATGGCCAGGGACCCAGTGGTTTGCAAGCAATCACTTCTCACGGACGCTCACTTTGCCGTGAACTCACAGAAAAGCCCTTGTATTGGGGCATGGGGAGCTGGGCACCTTCTTGAATGAAGGAGCCTGAGCAGCTCTCTGGATGCCGAGGACTCATTTTCCAGCAGGGAAAGCAGGGGTCTGAGCTATCAAGGCCACATGGTTGAGGAGAAGCAGGAACTGGACAGGCGCTGGCAACCCAGTGGGGGGCGCTTTATAGCGAGCACTGCGTGCATGGCTCCTGGACCAGTGATGGCGAACCTTTAGAGCTCGGCGTGTCAGCATTTTGAAAAACCCTAACTTAACTCCGGTGCTGTGTCACATATAGAAATTTTTTGATATTTGCAAACATAGTAAAACAAAGACTTATATTTTTGATATTTATTTCACATATTTAAATGCCATTTAACAAAGAAAAATCAACCAAAAAAATGAGTTTGCGTGTCACCTCTGACATGCGTGTCATAGGTTCGCCGTCACTGTCCTAGACAGACAACAGGAAAGCATGCCATGCCATCAGTTTCAGGAAGGCCAGGCTCCCTCTCCCAGGAGCAGGGGTGCCCTCTGGCAGCCCAAGGTTTAAGAGGTGCCTCTCTGGTCCTTTCAGTGTTTTTAAAAATGTGAACTGACTTCCCACATTTAGGAATTAAGAGAATTTGCTTCAGAGCCGGGGAGTCTGGATCCTTCGGGAAAAACAGTCAGAAGCTCCGCCACATGGAGAGCGGCATTCGTTTGCAGGCCACGCATTAGGTCCCACGTGGTACCAAGCGCTCAGCCTCGCCGCAGACTCCACTCCTCTCTCAAGTCCTCCCAGGCTGTTTGCTCCTTATCTTCTCTGTCTGGCTCCCAAAAGGCTTTGAGTTTGCTTCACTAGAAGTGTTAGCAGAAGCCCAACATTGGAGTGGGTCCAGGTCGGAGCTCTGACTTTGCTAAACTGACCTTTTTAACCTGATGCCCACCTAAGTCACCAAGGACAGACCCCTCCCACCACTAAAGCTATCGTTGGTCTGCACCTGCAGGAGCTAGCCTAGTCCTGGGTCTGACCCGAGTGCCCAACGTCCTGAGCTGACCTGGCCAGACCCTCGGGGTTCCCAGCTGGAGTGTCAGATGGTTCGGGGTCGGGTCTCTCTCCTGAGGTGACCTGACCCTAGGTGTTCAGCCGTCTCCTCGATGTGTTAGGCTCCTGGACCCATGTCACATGCTTCCAACCCCATATTCCCAACTCAGGGGTCATGGTGGTCATGAGCACCTTGATGTCTGAGTCCCAGAAACACACTGGTTCCTGGGCCAGGTCCCAGGCGGGGTCATGAGTCAATTTATGTGTTTTTAAAAACAGACTGTTTTTCTCTCTCCTCTGTTAGAGACAAATTAAACCCCTTACAGAGACAAAATGAAAAACTGGAAGAAAAAAGCATGGCTCAGCACAAGTTCCATGATCCAGCGCCAAAGAAGTGAGTTGATTTAAGCGTCAGTAGCTTACACACAGGACAGAAAGCTTGCTTTTTCAAGAGTAGGGGAAGCAGTAGCATCTAGAGCAGTGGCCAGTTTGTTGGGCCTGTACCTTCTGCTCTATGGCAGCTGCTCCGTGTGCAGGTCCCTCCCAGCATGGAAAGAATTTGGAGTTTCTTTCAGTCCCACCCTCGGTACTCAGGGTTATCCTATAAGGCATGGTGAATGCCATCTGGCCAGGAGTCTGTTTAAGGGCAGAGTCTGTGCTTTTAGAGCCACTAAAGCAGGCATATCAGGCTTTGTCTCAAGTTTGCGGGACCTAGAATCATGTTTCTGTTTTGGGAAGGAAGCTTGGGGCAGACGCCTGGACAAGCACCCCTGTCTTCAAGCACAGGAAACTTTTGTTCTACCCTCCATTCCTCTGGGTTCACTGGACCCCCCAGAGCAGGTTCAGAAACACATTCCCTTCCCCAGAGAGCAGCAGCCCTGGTGGTGGGTCAGCACGGTCCCCGAGACTGCTGGCCTCCATCCAGCAGGGCTCCCCCTGGGCCCGGGCCTGAGCCCAGGAGCAGGGCCTTCCCAATGTCCTGTCCCAACCTTGAGGTCAAATCACATGGCCTCTCTGTAGAAACCACAGAATTTCAGAACCTCCACCTGACCCTTCTGTTGACAGGGAAATTGAGGCACCGATGAGGAAATTGAGTGGCTTGTGTAAGCACAGTGCTGTTTTGTGGCAGAGCCAGGACCAGAACCCAGCTGTGGTCCTTGTTACATTAGAATGCTTCATTTCCTGTTAGTTGCAATGAATTACCTTTTTCATTTATTTACTTATTTTTCCAATCCTCACCCGAGGATATTTTTCCCTTAGAGAGAGTAGTAGGGAGGGAGGAAGGGAAGGAGGAAGGGAGAGGGGCAGAGGGAGGGAGGGAGGGAAGGAAGGAGAGAGAGAGAGAGAGAGAGAGAGAGAGAGAGAGAGAGAGAGAGAGAGACATCTATGTGAGAGAGACACATCATTTGGTTTCCATCTGCATACACCTTGACCGGGGCCAGGGATCAAACCTGCAACCCAGGTATGTGCCCTTATTGGGAGATCAAACCCACCACCCATCAGTGCTCAGGCCAAAGCTTCAACCACCAGGCAAGACCACCCAGGGCTCACTGTTTTTCATTCAAACTGCCCACTCTCCTGCCCTCTTCCCCTCACCCCGATTCCTCAATGACGAGAATGGGCAGAGTATGCCAGCCAATTTCATGTATTGTTACACCTAGCAGAAAATGAGGAGGTCCCTGACTTTCTGAAAATGGCGTTTTGGTGGAATTTTGCCAACCAGCATGATTAGGTCAGCACAGCACCACTTCCAGCACTTGGCACAGTAATCAAGAGCCGAGAGCTGCGTTTGAAGTTCTGTTTTCCCGAGGGGCTAGTGTGGGTTCCTGCCATTATGAAGGCTTCTACCACCCCTGGGTCTGTGCAAATTAACTGCACATTGTGTGCCACCTCCTGAGCCCCACTTGGGATGATCGTGATGATGGCAAAGAGCACCCTCATTCTGAACCAGATTAAGCGCCACCTTCTCAGGCTGGTGATTGAAATCCCAGCTCGAGTAGGGCACCCAGACACCTGCTGGAGGGGCAGTGAGGGTTGGCTGTGTCCTAAAAACCTACTTCTTACAGGAAAAAGCACTGGATTGGAGCCAAAGCCTTAGTCAAACTCATCAAACTAAAGAAAGGGGGTTCCAGAGAACGACCAAAGTCAACCCCAGAGAGGCCTCCCTGGCCACTGGGGTCCTCAGACCAGGCCTCGCCCAGTACTTCTCAGCCTCTTCAATCACAGCTGGAGCTCCTCGAGGCCACCCCATGCTGCTCAAAGGGGACAGAAGAGCAAGACACCTGCAGGGGGCTCCGGGGAAAAGGTAGGAAGGGCTTACCTGGCTGCAGGCGGGAAGTAAAGGGGAGCATCTCAGGTGTCCCTCAGGGATGGGAGAACCAAGGAGACTGCATGCTAGGTGTGTACACGTGTGTGTGTGTGTGTGTGTGTGTGCACGCGCACATGTGTGTGTAGGAGCCTGAAGGGGGCATACTCCATACACCACATCTGTCTCCTTTGGTATGTGAACACCCAAGTAGGAAATATAAACCCCCGTCAGTGTGGCTGCACTTTCTCCCAGAACAATTCAGGTCCTTTAGCATGAGGAGCCTCACAAATCATGGACACTGTGGTAGGGACTCGAATATCCAGAGCTGATATCCACACAGTTACCGCAGAGACAAGCTCCACAGCCAATGTTCCCCCCAGGCCTACAATAGGCCACTTCTGTAGGGAGATCCGCGGTGCATTTAACACGTGAGGGACAGCTGCCAGGTCTTCAGCGAGGCCTCCTGTGGCTCTGATCTTCCTGTCACTTTGACAAGCGGGTCTGGTTTTCTTCTCTGACCTGATCTGGCCTTGAGCCCTGCCACCATGGGGAGCACTGCACCTCATCATTCAGGGTTGTCATGTGGAATTGCCAGAGCTTTTGAAGTGGATTTCTAGTTGCATGTGCTGTACGTATTTCATCGAATCTAAGAGGCTGTCAGACAAGGGTGCTCACATAAGAAGAAGATAAATGGGTTGTGGCAGTGACGATTTTGTCACAGTTGCCAGCTGGCCACAGTGACTGTGAGATAGGCTCAAAGCTGCATCCTATTTCAGAGATGATAAGGTTTGGGAAAGGGGGAAAGTGCATCTTACTTGCCTTAAACATGACTAAGTTTTCAATTTACTGTTAAATATCATGTTCTACATGACTTACCTAAAAACCTGCCAAACGTGCACCCTGAGAATTTCAAATTTATGAAGGACACCAGGACTTCCTGAAGACCAACCCAGGCCTGAGACTCATGCCCTCTCAGGGGCAGCTGTGGCAGCACCAGGGCCCATGACAAGCCGCCTCTTGAGTGTGACCTCTACACATGCCTTTCTGGATGACATTCACCACTTCAGGACCTGGTGTGTCCCTCAAAACTCAAAAAACACAATGTGTACATGCACCCATACTAGTGTTTGGGGACTAATGCTTGCATTCCAAGTCTTTACAGGAGGTGAATTAGGTAAAACCCTCACATGCAGGGAAATGATAATAAACTTATTAATATTTATCTAGAGGTCTCTGTTGCCTCTGGTTTACATACAGGATACAGAATTTTTTTACACTCACACCTTCCCTTCTGTTATTGTCTCAGTTGACTTAATTAACTGATAATCAGCCTAATTACTTAGCAAAACTTTCAGAGAAAAGCTGCTTGACTGCCCAGGCTGGTTTTTCTCAGTGGTTAGAGCATCATCTCTCATATCAGAGAGTCCAGGGTTTGATTCTGGTCAAGGGCAAATACCTGGGTTGCAGGCTCAATGCCTGGCCCGGTCGAGGTTTGTGCGTGGCACCCAATCAATGTCTCTCTCACATAGATATTTTTCTCTCTGACTCTGCACCTCCCTTCCACTCTCTCTGAAAAAAATAACCTCAGGTGAGGATTAAAAAAACAACAACAAAAAATAGGAGAAGTAAGATGGCTGCAGACAGAACTGCAGGCTGCGAGATAGTGTGAGAGTGAGAGAACAAAAGGAGAGTGCATGGATGTGTAGGGAGTGTCAGCATTTGTGAGCGAGGGACAGCTATACTCCAAGGGACTGTTGTGGACTGGCGGACTGGCCACCCATGATTGGGCAGACTCTACTGCAGCTGAAATCACTTCTGGAGTAGCTGGCTCTCCGCAGAGGTCACGTCATCTTTAAGGGGAGATGGCTGTGATCAGAGACTGACTGTGATCAGAACCCCAGCCTTACCTTCAACTGGGGAGATCTCGGATGCCTCCTAGGACCTTAAAACCAAGACGTCCAGAGACCAGTTATCTCAGCTGCAAATCTAGGAATGGAAGAACTCCAACCTCTCTGACCAGGAGCACCTGGCAGGTCTTCTCAGGGGGAGACAAATGCGCGAACTCACGGACAAGCACTGTGCCTTCTCACAGAGCAGAAGGAACAGCTGAATCAAAGAGCACTCACCCAGAACTGGCAAAGAAATACAGCTGGCATTGCCTAAAGAAATTCAGCACAGGAGACAGAGAGCTACATAACCAGAAACCCTGAGAGGAGAGATCAGGGGAGACAAAGAAACAGCCCGCATACAAAAGAAAGGAGGAATCACCAGAAAAGGAAGGAAAGGAAATGGAGGCAAGCAATATGACAGAGAAAGCATTCAGAGAAGTGGTCATGAGGTCACTGAAAAGGATGGAAGACACATTCAATAATATGCGTAGAAACCAAGAAGAAATGAAGAAGAAATGAAACAATGACATCACTGCAATAAAGAACTCAATAGAAACATCAACAGTAGACTAGAAGAAGCAGAGGACCACATCAGTGAGCTAGAAGACAAGGTAGGAAAAATACACAAGAGCAGCATCTAGAAAAGAAACTTAAAAAACAGGACGAGAGCCTAAGGGAACTTTGGGACAACATGAAATGAAACCACATCCGCATAATAGGGGTGCCAGAAGAAGAGGAAACTGAACAAGGAATAGAAAATCTGTTTGAAGAAATAATGACAGAAAACTTCCCTGATATCAGGAAGAAAAAGCTCATACGGTCCAAAAAGCTCACAGAGTCCCAAACAAGATGAACCCCAAAATATTGATAACAAGACACTTTATAATTAAATTGGCAAACACCAATTACAAAGTAAGAATCTTAAAGGCTGCCAGAGAGAGACAGAAAGTTACCTACAAAGGATCTGCCATCAGACTATTGACTGATTTCTCAACAGAAACACATCAGGCCAGAAGGGAATGGAATGAAATATACAATGTCATGCAAAGAAAGGGTCTGAATCCAAGAATACTGTATCCAGCAAGGCTATCGATTAAAATTGAGGGTGAAATCAAGATCTTCCCAGACAAAAAAGGACTAAGGGAGTTTATTACCCCCAAACCAACAATGCAAGAAATGCGAAAGGGTCTGCTATAAAAAGAAGAAATAGGAAGGGAAGAAGGAACACAGGCATAAAGAATAAAAATGGTGACAAACAGGTACCTATCAATAATCACTTTAAATGTAATTGGATCAAATGCCCCAAAAAAGACATAGAGGAGTTAAGTGGATAAGAAAACATGACCCATATATCTCCTGTCCACAGGAAACTCATCTTAGAACAAAGAACTCACACAGACTGATGGTGAAAGGTTGGAAAAAGGTTTTTCAGGCGAACGGAAATGAAAAAAATCTGGGGTAGCAATACTTATATCTGACAAATTAGATCTCAAAGTGAAGGCCATAACAAGAGATAAGGAAGGCCACCTCATAATACTAAAGGGAGCAATTCAACAAGAAGATATAACTCGGGTAAACAAATAGGCTCCCAATACAGGAGCACCCAAGTACATAACAAAAATTCTGGAGGCTATCAAGGGAGAGATTAACAGCAATACAGTCATAGTAGGGGACTTAATACCCCACTAACACCACTGGACAAATCCCCTAAACAAAAAGTCAGCAAAGAAACAGCAATCCTAAATGACTCACTAGATCAGATGGAATTGACATCTTCAGAACATTCCACCCCAAAGCCACAGAATATACATTCTTCTCAAGTGCACATGGGTCATTTTCAAAGATAGACCATGTACTGGGGGACAGGTAAAGTTTTTTTCAAATTCAAGAAGATAGAAATCATATTAAACATCTTCTCAGATCACAATGGCAAAAACTGGAAATCAATTACAATAAAAACAATAAAATTAAAACACCTGGAGGCTAAATAGCATACTTTTAAATAATGATTGGGTTACCAAAGAGATCAAAGAAGAAATAAAAAGCATCATGGCAACAAATGACAATGAAAACACAACCTCTTGAGATGGAAGTTCATAGCTTTGCAGGCCTATCTCAAAAAAAAAAAAACCAAGAAAAAATGGTAATAAATTGTCTAACCCTACAACTCAAAGAATTAGAAAGAGAGCAACAAGAAAATCCCAGTGTAAGCAGAAGGAAGGAAATAATAAAGATCAGCATGGAGATAAATGACATAAAGACCAAAAAAACAATAATAAAGGTCAGCAAAACCAAAAGCTGGTTCTTTGAAAGGAGAAACAAGATTGATGAACCTCTAGCCAGGCTCACCAAGAAGCAAAGAGAGAGGGCCCAAATAAAATTAGAAATGAAAGAGGCGATGTAACAACCAATCCCACAGAAATACAAAGGATAATGAAAAAGTACTATGAACAACTCTATTCCAATAAAGTGGACTACCTAGATGAAATAGACATATTCTTCGAAAAATACGAGCTCCCAAAACTCAATCAAGAAGAATAAAAAAAACCTGAATAGGCCGATGACTACCGAAGAAATTGAAGCAGTGAGCAAAAATCTTCCAGCAAACAAAAGCCCTGGTCAAGATGGCTTTACAAGGGACTTCTACCAAGCATTCAAAGAAGAACTTAAACCTACAGACTGTTTCAAAAAATTCAAGAGGAAGGCACACTTCCAAGCTCTTCCTATGAAGCCAGCATTACCCTAATTCCAAAACCTGATAAAGACACCACAAAAAAGAGAACTACAGGCCAATATCCTTGATGAACATAGATGCTAAAATCCTCAACAAAATTCTAGCAAATCGAATTGAGCATTACATTATAAAGATCATACACCACGACGAAGTTGGATTTATTCCGGGAATGCAAGGATGGTACAATATCTGCAAATCAAGAAATGTGATACATCACATAAACAAACCGAGAGACGAAAATCACATAATCTTATCAATCGATGCAGAAAATGCATTTGACAAAATCCAACACCCTTTCTTGATAAAGACTTTCAGCAAAGTGGGAATAGAGGGACCATGCCTCAACATAATAAAAGCCTTAAATGACACACCTGCAGCCAACATCAAAATCAATGGGCAAAAACTAAACTCGTTTCCCCGATAAACGGGAAGAAGACAGGGATGCCCACTCTCACCACTCCTGTTTGAAATAGTACTGGAAGTGCTAGCCATAGTGATCAGACAAGAAGAGGAAGTAAAAGGCATCCAATTGGAAAAGAAGAAGTAAAACTGTCCTTATTAGCAGATGACATGTTACTATACATAAAAAATCCCAAAGACTCCATTAAAAAACTACTGACCTAATAAGTGAATTTGGCAAAGTAGCAGGATATAAAGTTTACACCCAGGAATCTATGGCCTTTTTATACACTAATAATGAACTCACAGAAAGAGAAGTGAAAAAAACAATCCCATTTACCAGTGCACCAAAAAAATTAAGATACTTAGGAATAAACTTAACTGAGGACATAAAAGACCTGTACTTAGAAAACTACACAACATTGAAAAAAAAGAGATCGAGGAAGACATGAACAAATGGAAGAATATACCATGTTCTTGGATTGGTAGAATCAACATCATTAAAATGCCCATACTACCCAAAGCAATCTATAAATTCAATGCAATCCCCATTAAAATACCAATGGCATACTTCAATGATCTAGAACAAACTCTCCAAAAATTCATCTGGAATAAAAAGACCCCGAATAGCTGCAGCGATCTTGAGAGAGAACAATGTAGGAGGGATCCCAATACAAGATAGCAAGCTATACTACAAAACCACTGTTCTCAAAACTGCCTGGTACTGGCACCAGAACAAACATATAGAGAACAGAGAACCCAGAAATCAACACAAGTCAACACAAGCCAGTATGTTTGACAAAGGAGTCAAGAGCATACAATGGAGATAAGAGAGTCTCTTCAATAAATGGTTTTGGGGAAACTGGACAGATACTTGCAAAAAACAAGAAACTAGGCCACCAACTTACACCATACACAAAAATAAACTCAAAATGGATAAAGGACTTTAAGATAGGAAACCATAAAAATCTTAGAAGAAGAAATAGGCAGCAAAATAGCAGACACTTGTGGTAGCAATATCTTTACCGATACAGCTCCTAGGGCAATGGAAACTAAAGAGAAAATAAAAAATGGGACTATCAAAATAAAAAGCTTCTGCACAGCAAATAAACACAGAAAACTATCAATAGAACAACAAGAAAGCCCACTGCATGGGAGAACATGTTTGCCAATGTTATCACCGATAATGGTTTAATCTCCAACATCTACAGGGAACTCATACAACTTAACAAAAGGATGATAAATAATCCAATCAAAAGTGGACAAAGGACCTGAATAGACACTTTTCAGAAGGGGACATTCAGAAAGCCAAGAGACATATGAAAACATGTTCCAAGTCACTAATCAAATGAGAGATGCAAATCGAAATGACGATGAGGTACCATCTCACACCTGTCAGGCTGGCTATCATCAACAATTCAACAAACGACAAATGCTGGCGAGGATGTGGAGAAAAAGGAACCCTCTTGCACTGCTGGTGGGAATGCAGACTGGTGCAGCCAATGTAGAGAACAGTATGGAGTTTCCTCAACACGTTAAAAATGGAACCCCCATTTGATTCAGTGATCCCACTTCTAGGAATATATCCCAAGAAACCAGAAACACCAATCAGAAAGGATACATGTACCCCTATGTTCATAGCAGCACAATTTACCTTAGCTAAGATTTAGAAACAGCCTAAATTCCCATCAGCAGATGAATGGATTAGAAAACTGCAGTACATCTACACAAAGGAATACTATGCTGCTGTAAAAAAGGAGTTCTTTCCATTTGCAACAGTATGGATGGAAATGGAGAACATTATGCTAAGTGAAATAAGCCAGTCCATGAAAGAAAAAAACCACATGATCTCACTCATTTATGGATAATAAAGAACATTATAAACTGGTGAACAAAAATAGATGCAGAGGCAGAGCAGCATGGAACAGACTGTCAAACTACAGCGGGAAGGCTGGGGAGGGTTGGTGGGGGAGGTAAGGGATCAACCTAAGGACTTGTATGCATGAATATAAGCATAACCAATGGGCTCAAGATACCGGGGCTAGGGGAGGCCAGGGGAAGGTCAATGGGTAAAAAAGGAAGCATATGTACTACTCTTTGTAATACTTTAAGCCAGTGGTCGGCAAACTGCGGCTCTGCAGGCCGCAGCTCAAGAGCCACATGCTGCTCTTTGGCTCCTTGAGTGTGGCTCTTCCACAAAATACCAGCTCTTCCACAAAATACCGACTTCTGTGCATGGGCCACAAAGTCTCAATCGCACTGTACATGCATGCCCACACGTGGTGTTTTGTGGAAGAGCCACACTCGGGGTGGGGGGCAGGGAGCTGCGTGTGGCTCGTGAGCAGTGGTTTGCCGACCACGGCTTTAAGCAATAAAATAAAAATTAAAAAAAGAAACAACTGTTTTGATCCATGAATGAGCAGGTCAGTGGTAGATATTAGTAACGGCAGCCATGTAATGGGGGCTCTTTCTGGGCTCAGCACCCTTTAGCTAGTTTCACACTTTATGTCTCTCCTTTAGTTCCAACTGCCATGTGAGGCAGGTACGATTCCTATCCCATTTTCAGTGCTGGGAAAGTGAGGCTTGACAAGGATAAGCACTTGCCCAGAGAATAAGGGGTGGGGCTGGATCTGAACCCGGGTCTGACAGATTACGGAGCCTGAACTCTTAACCACTGTGAGCACTGCCTGCAGTTGAAGCTGCTTTGGTCCCTGAAGGTGCTGACCAATCCTGGGGCACCAGCATTGCATAGTGCAGTGATGGCGAACCTATGATACGCGAACTCATTTTTTGGTTGATTTTCTTTGTTAAATGGCATTTAAATATATAAAATAAATATCAAAAATATAAGTCTTTGTTTTACTATGGTTGCAAATATCAAAAAATTTCTAAATGTGACACGGCACCAGAGTTAAGTTAGGGTTTTTCAAAATGCTGACACACGGAGTTCAAAAGGTTCACCATCACTGGTAGTAGGTTCCTTCTCCTGTGGTGTGAGCTGTGGCCACCAGGTGGTGCTGTGGAGAGAGAAATAACAGTGGACCTGCTATGAACTTGAATCCTAAGTCAGAAATCAGGTAAGTCAGCTATGCTCATGTACATGACATGTTCAGGAACTTAGGCCAATTGTCTGCTCTGATAAGACTCCATAATTTAAAGGTCATGAAGTGTAGGCTTGCAGTAGAGGATGTGTAGGGATCTAAATGGGAATAATTCTTGATGTTGACAGTGTTTTGGTCTGAAAAAGAGGAATTTCAAACTCATCCTTCCATAAGAGGCTGTTTGAGATGCACAAGGACTATTAGTGAGCAGTTTAGGTGGACTGTCCCGTTGCAGCAGCCAGAAGCACACCAGGAAGTGTCCCAAGGTGTTTGAACAGGAGCAGGAGTTAGTTGTGTGTGAGCCAAGTTGCCAGGGAGCTTGTCATTAGGGCGGAGGAGTAAGAAAAACCGGGTCCTAAACTAGTAAACATTCTTATTTAATAGTTAACACATTGACATTGAAAAATAGTCTAAGGCAGCGGCTCCTAGAGCAATATTGAATGTTCCTCACGTGCTAAGTAAAGCCTGGCACAGGACGCCACTAAATTAATTAAGTGGGGTCAGAGCAGAATGGTTCACCGAGTCCTGATTCTGATTGTGCTGTGGGTATTGTTTCCAACTCTCCTGGGCAGGACAGGACTCTGATTTCCCAAGAACATTTAGCTAAGGCAGTCATTTGTTATTCATTTCATTTATTTGCTGTTTTGTTTTGTTTTTCCTTCCTCTCTTGGGTTATCCTGGGGATCACAATTTAGCAACTCGGCGCAAAAAGAGTCGCTTTTGCAGAAGTGGGAGCGAGGACAAGGCCAAGTCTCCATCATCCCGCCTGGCTTTCTATAAACGTCTGAGGTTCTGGACCTGCTCTGACATCAAACCTGCTTCTCTCTAGCCCCTCCCTTTCTCAGACGCTGGGGATTTCTAATCCATCAGTGTCTTCACAATGTACCTGCCTTCATGTCTGAAATTCAAAAAACAAACAGAAAAACAGTAGCTAAAGGCCAGATGACCCTCAGTGGACCCCTCCTCCTGACCCAAATTCCAAGCCAAGCTTAAAGCAGCCAACCTGGATTCTGACTTCAAAGGAGACCAGTTGTCTCGGCCTCTGGACCTGACTCCAGCGCAGCCCAGTGTTAGGGGAGCCTCAGGGCATCCACGCCAGGTCCCTGGGCCAGGGTGTCTGTGCTAAGTGAGGCCCCGGGCCCAGTGCCGCCCCCTCTCTCGCACCTGCAGGCTTGTAGACCTTGCCCCTGTGCAGCGCAGAACTCATCAGTGGTCGCTATGCTTCTGAAACTGTGCGGCCCCTGTCAAGTGAGTTTTTCTAAGACTCATTTTTGGGCAGCTAACTTTCAATCTGCTGCCCTTGTCTCCACCTTCTGAGTCAGAGCACAGAATCTTGGCTTTTGCAGAGCAGTCCCTTTTTAGATGTGTTCTGTGTTTTGAAGAATTGACTGCTCCACTCAGCATCTCAAATAATCGGATCGATGTTGCCCAGCCAGAGTTCAGCCCAAAGTGAGGTTTTCGGACCGTGCTGAGGTCCTCTGACGTCTTGGATGCTGCTGTGAGGGCAGCAGTGGACAGACAGGTCATCAGCTCACTGTCACCGTCAGCTGGGAACACTGGTCCACAGAAGCCTTTAGCTACTGCATTGTTTTCTGTCTTCAGCCATCCTCATACCATCTCCATGATTTTGCAAAGTCTATTTCACCTGAGTGATACTTACATACTTTCCCTTGAATTGACTTGCAGTTTCCACTTTATTTTAAAAGATTGTTCTTTCGTACTGTGAATGGAAAACCACATAAACCATATAAACA